ATGCAAAAAAAAAAAATGGTTATTCTCGACAAATCGCAAGTTAGCTCAGCCCCTCATAGTGTCATAGCACTGCTGTTAAAATTTCTCTTTTAAGTTTTTGTACTATATTTGATGTGACATAGAGGATGCCATAGTTTATAATAAGTTATTGTTTCAACTCCGCTAGGTAAAAAAGTTTGCGTACTTGACGGAGATCAGTACTGTGTCAGCGGCTCAATAAAACTACTTTTACATTCTAAAGCTGGATTCAGCTACACAAGAATGGGATGAATACAAACAATAGTCGTAGAACTCAACTACTAGAAAGTATACAAAAGTCAATGCCGCAGCCCTAGCTCATACTACATGGTTAGTTCTACAAGTACAATACACAGGTTGTGCGGTTGTGGATGTGTCGGGTGAGAAGCACTAGTCTACGTGTCGTCTACAGCAACCCGATCTCTCTCAGCGCTCCTTCCACAGCTTCGTCCTGCAAACAGTGATACACTCACACCCCCATGCACCAAGCTTGCTACCTGCTATGGTGGCTCATCGCAAAGCAGGATAAACACGATATTGTGCTTTGAAAAACTTCAACGCAAAGCTCGGTTTACGCTACAACTGTGCGATTTTGTTAAAACAACTTTTAGAAGTTGTGTGACAGGACATTTAGTAAATGAAAAAGTCTGATTAGGCCACGAAGATATTACAACCTTGTTTCTGATACTAAGTTGAAGGAATTTGTAATAAAGATACACTACTTTTCAGTAGGCCTATTTAAAATGTTTTGAGAATTTGCAATCCAGTAGCATCTTTTTAGTGGCAGATAGAAAAAGGGTGACTGGTGAGATGTCAGCTGGCGGGTAACGATGATAATATCTCCGCAATTGGGGGGAGGTGTCCACGATTTCACTGCTATTGTAATGAGATTTAGAAGTCTAGAGACGTAGGGAGACAATGCAAATGAAAATCCCGTCTTGTTCATGTCCCAAAAAACAGGAGGGGAATAAAAATTCCACCCCATCCTGAAGTCAAAGTACAATGCTGTCCATATCTACCTAGGCTATTCTACTTGACCAGATTATTTGCTTTGACTGGACTGAAATGTTTGTTGTTTTGAAATTTGAATTTCAGAACCAACTGTGGAGTAAAATTTGTTAAAATCAGATAGGTAATATAACACAGATTAAACAAAGTTGTAACATAAAGTAGGGACTTCTTGTATTCCAAAAACAAAATTCAACTAAAATATACAGTCATGGTGTTTTATTACAGAAACAAACGTTTTTAGTGCCTTTTGTTTCACAGAAAACCTCTACATGCAGTTTGCAACACAAAACCTTTTATCAGTATCAGGCCTCTACAGTAAACGTAGCATTAAAAAGAGTGAGTACTACATCACAGAGCGAGACTAACTTGAAGATTGTGTTTAATCAATAAAATAACTTTACACACATCATTTAATCAATTAAATAAGTGATCAAATATGCTTGTATTATTTTAACTGAATCAATAGATTAACTATAGGTAGGCCTAAACAACAAAACAAACAAAACGGAATTCCTTGAACAATATCCGGCCGCTCGAGAAAGATATCTTGATTTGAGTCCATTAACAAGTTTAAGAAGATTTAGGCCTACTGTGGCTACCGATATCTATTTCAAAGATATTTTATTTTAGTACATAAGTTAATTTGTTATAGAAATAAAATTAATTACTTTTGTGTCAACCTGTAAAATAAAATTAACTGTAACGTGACAACTTCAGTGGTTAGTGTCACTTTACAACAAGAGTTATATTTCACAGTAAATTTGTAATTCTATCTGACGACATGGTTGACGTTGATAAAATCTATGGATTCTGACAGCGTTTGAATGTATTCAACACAGAGTTAACATCAGAAACTTATGGACCACTAATTGATTTTAACATATTATTTACCCAAAAACTGCTAATATATTTTTTTTATACAGACTTGAGTGATGGTACGTGCAGTTGAATATGCACAGATCTGCCGTACTAGAGGAATGATTTTTATCTAAAAAGCATGCTAGAACATATCTATACCTACATCACTATTGAAGTTAGTGAATTCCTTCCATATAAAAAGAACAGTTTAAGTTCAATGCCTTATGTTATTATAAAATAAGATTTCTTAGCCAAGACCACGAATAAAACCTCTAATGATCAAGGAGAGATTAAAAATACTGAGATTTTCTAGGTAAGTATTATAAAAACAAAACAGTCATCGACCCAAAAAGGTATTACAGAAAAAAACATTTATAGTTTTTAACATTTATGGTATGGAAACAAAAAAAATCAGGTAATGTGATTCAAACTACGTTATTGAAACATTATTTAGTTTTCATTGCATTTTGTACTAAACAGTAAAAATACATTTCGTAGGGTAATCAATATAGTTACTGTATGTTTAACTGTATGAATTTCTACCACAAGATGCAGTCTGATATTTTACCATCAAAACATGTAGCATGCATCATTCCAGTCATGCATTGCAACAATATTGTTTCAAAGAATATTTTATTTTTATATTTAAAGGAGATGTAAACAACTGTAATTAGTTTCAGGCCTATTTTATGTTTTCAACAAAATAAAAACAAAGCAAAATCTTGTCAAGTTTCCTTGCTTCAAAGAGTTTCTAGGTAATAATAAAATTAATCAAAACTTCCTTGCATCCGTCATATTGGAGTTTTTTTTTATAAAAGGTTCTATCCAGTTCACAATTTAGTTCTACTACGGAATCTCATCTTGTCTTGTTTCTGAGCCATTTCCGTGTTCTCAAAATTGCAAATTCTTTAATTTTCTTAAGACCAATACTAACAAAGTATTGTAGTAGGCTTATTCAAAAAATTATTTATAAACTATTTAATGTACACCTTAGGTTTTGTACATCATTTTAAATGAATTATGACTTTAAGGATGCTGACAGAACCCCCTAATGTCTTATTTTATTTTACTATACCTTTGCATTTTTAAAAGAATCACCTTCCTACCATATTAAAAACATAACTAAAGTGTAACTTTAGTGTGCAGTTACTAACCACTACCAAAAACTACGAATTTAAACTGAAGGTAATAAATAAATATACTCTGAAATTTTGTAACTCTTTAATAATAAATATCCTTCACAATACTTGAATTACATTATAATACTACAGTATACGGAATGGCAATACTAGTGTTTGTTAAAATACAATACCAATAATGACGAGTCCTACAACCCCTGGATACTAATTGAATGATTACAATATCCTTCAATTCATGTTTCATACTCCATTTAACAAGTCTTGAGAAGTAAGCAAACTATAAGGATAAATATTTTCCTGACTGATGATGGATTGAGTTTTACTTTTTACAGAGAAATCCTTCAACAATTTGGTACAAACTTCTACCCGTCCCCCAACCCTACCAATGTTTAAATTGTTATCACAATCTTCAAAAACAAAATAATCTTAAAACAAAAATTGTATTTACAAACATGATTAACTTGTTTATTTATTTCACATTCAAAAAGTATTCCCTTAAAATAGATAGGCAAGACATTTGTATCACTTTATGTTATTGTTAGATCAAGGAACATGTTTGCTTCGGTTATATTTTTATAACTAAGTCAGTTTGCTTTAAAAAGCCTTGATGTAACACTGAATACATTTTTGGGCAAAGATAGATAATATAATGTTAAGTTCAAACTAACATTCTCATCATTAATGTAAGTAGGCCTATATCGAGAAGAATTTAGGTGGATTCTAAAGGAGAAAATTAAAGATTCTGTGCTTTGCAATTTAAGCTTGTTTTTTGTAGTTTGCATCCTTATGAAACTCTTGAGATATTTTAGGCCTACACTTTATTGTTCTTAGAATAATATAGATAAAAACATTGGACTGTTGTAATATTTCAACTTAATCTTCAATTCTCGTTTTAAGTTCCTGACATTAACAAATAAAGCAATAGTCAGCGGAAGGAACTGAAACCCTAATGTAAAAGTGAAGTTTGAGAACAGTTTAATTACTGTAGTTATAAAAATCGGAAAATAGTGGTGAAAAACAGTATATTATCATAAGTTTTATATGAGATCTGCTATGATGTTGACTATTTAATTCTTCTCAACAATCATTTAAGACTAGAAAAGTAAATGCATGAAAATACCGAATCATTAAATAGGGATTTATTATAGTAGCTTTTTACATGGTAATGCTACTGTACTTTTTGTGAAATGCTTAACTGATAAAATATAACATGTTTTACAATTTGGATAAAGAAACTTATGTTACACATTAACCAAGGACAATTTTGTCACGAGACAAAAGTGAACTACTATTTTTTATAGCAGGCCTAATATAAACGTTAGTAATAGTAAATAGTAATAGTATTAGTATTCAGCTATACTTTCCACATTAAACTGCAAATTGCTTTTAAAACTATGTTGTTAGTTTTGACCAAACGATTTACATTAATTTAAAATCACAACCATAACTTTATAACTAAAACCTTTGGTAAAATTATCAATGTAATACTAGTAAACAAAATTGTTTGATAAGGTAACTCAAGACCAAATGTATTTATGGTCGTAAATGATAAAAGTACAGTGATGCTTTGAAAATTCATAATAAAATGTGTTAAAAAAACCACCAAACGATGTACAGAATCAGTTAGGACATAACATTTCTCTTATATGGATGACACTAAAATAAACTTGATCTTTTATTTTACAATCCAATATGACGTTTGCAAGTAAACCAAGTAACTGACAGTGATGTATACAACTACAACCTGTAATCGACTCTTTATAGTCCAATCCTAAACTGTATACACTAACAAAATACCTCCTAATGGCAAATCAAAACAAACCTACTCTATCACAACGCAATAGGAATAAAGAATAGATGTAGGCCTAGGCCTAAACTAAGACAAAGTAAAATATTCGGACTAGCAAGGCACAACAGTCTACGTCAAATAGCAACGTTTGTCTACAGTTCGTACGGACTATCGCCATCATTTACCTCTTGTTGAAGGTCCTGTGCTGCGATGGCTTTCAGCACATTCTTCTTTGATGTCTCCTGTATTTCCCCTCCCAGCAACAGTTCATCAAGGATGAAGTAAGCTTTCTCAAAGTTGAAGATGATGTCCAGTTCGCATACCTATGACAAAAGATTTCATAAAACGGTTGTATAGACTTACTTTTTAGCAAGAGTTAAAGTCATTTGATTTGTTTGTAAAAGTAGGCAGACGCCTACATAACAGATAACTCAACTGATTCAGAATGCCTTCTTTCCTAAACCTCTTTGCTAACTATTGAGTCGGCAACATAAAACTTATTTTTTCAGACGGGCAGAGTTCATTGACCTGCTACTCTATAGCCATTAGATTAAAAATTGTATTCAAAACCTAAGAAGCCTACCACCGGATCAACTAAATAGGTACCAATGTGTTAGTCCTAAAATTTTCAGTACAGAAACGCTCCCCATGGTCTAAGAAGAAACGGGGATTGCCTGTTAAAATATAGGATTTTTAGAAAAGCAGAGGTGGATCGCCATTCCTACACAGGCACACTACACCACTAAAAGGTACTAAGATTTTCAAAGTTTGGGTTAGAAAGCCTAATGTGGGACAAGTTAAAAAAAATTAGATTCATTTCAAGCGGACGGTAAATGTTTTATGAGAGAAAAATGTGCTTGAATTGATTATTGGGTGTATTTCTTATTAAAATAATTTGAAGACCCACTTTTAATAGTAGCCTACAACTTTTTTTTATTATCGGCAAAGGCTGAAACCATAAAAATATACTTTAGAGTTTAAAATTAAAGGCTACTATAATTAACTTACACTTCCAAAGTATTTGTCCAGAAGTTCCACGTAACGGTGAATGATTTCCAACGTTAAGAGTTCATTGTCGTTTTGCTCGATGGCACAGCAGAAATACAAACTAGCATATCTGAAAAGAACAAGAACTAATTTTAGAGCATCTAATACACATCTGCTAAGATCAAAATAAAGTATTATTATCTAGGCTGTTCTGTATAAGTTTTCTTTATCTTCAATTACAATGGGAACTTTCTAAACCATCTCAGTGATTCTTGTAGAAATTTATTTATTTCTTTTCTAATAAAAAACTTCATTTCATCAACTATTTGGTGTAAAACTAGTATTTCTTTTTGTCCTAGGATCGTTTTATCACATTACTTCAGGCTGGACCTAGGGGTTGCGGCATTATTACTTGGATAAAATCCATTAGTGATTTGGTGGGATTTGAAGCTCAGTAAGCCCTATAACATTCAGCTCCCTAGCAACCCTTCTATGAGGTTCCCAGGATCTAAAAGGTAAAATACAAAATAAAATAAGTTAGGCAAACTAAAAAGCTGAATTCAGTTGACGGTTATATATACATACCTCTTATAAACTACTTTCACGTCCTTCCATTCTAGAAAGCTGCACATTTTAGGCTTTCGAGCAAGAATTGTAGTTATGAGTTCTCTTGTTATTTTCTTTTTCAGTTTGTCTGGATGAGCGACATACCATTTCTGCAGACGGAGCTTTCCTTGTCTACTGAAGAGAAGCATAAACTGCATCTGCAATGACAATAAAGTTTCTTAAAGATAAAGGGCAACTGTTTTATAACACTATAGGCTACAATAATAGGCTCTAACTATTTTCAATTTAAATACTCTCATATTTTGGTTTGATAACCAGATGTTTTACTAATGGTTGGTTTAAGAACTACGGCACCAAGAAAATTAACTTGAGTGTAAGAAATCTGTTGCTGAGGCTGTGAGGAAGTTTTGAATAACAAGTTTTGAATCAACACTTTATCATCAGCAACGAGGGTAGCTTACAGATGAAAAATTGACTTAACTCTAGCAGTGCCCAATGTTAGAAGTGTGGAATCACCAAACCATTTGGGTCTATCCATATCAAGTGATCCAACAGGGGTTGCTTGACCATTTTTAAAATCAATAATATTTTTATCCCAGATACCTTTATCAATTCTGGGTTCAAAAGTGATTTTAAAATTTTTTATCTATTTTGTTACTCCTACGGCGGCCATTTTTGTTTTGCAGAACACGCAAATTTTTGCTCATGTAAGGGTTTGCGTTAACTTGCACAACTCGGTAACCATGAACACTAGAATGAGGAAACAAAAAGCATTTTAATCTGGAAGAAACAGCCTAAATATTATGTTCAGTACATATTTATTGAAATGTGTATCAAAAACAGTTTTAAACCCATCTCAACATTTCATAAGAAAACGGAAAAATTTCAACTATTGAAGGCGTATTTCCATTGGAACGAATAAAATCTCAGACTTGATTTTTTTTGTGTGTGTAGCAACTCAGTAGAACTGTTTGTATTTCAAATATCAACCATGAGACTTAATTCCTTTAAAAGTTATAATTTTTCAAAAACTGAAATTTTTTGAAAAATTCAAATTTTGAGTCTCAATATCTTTGTTGGGACAAAGTTTAAAAATCTGAAATTTTTACCAAAAACCCCTCTTATGGTTGTTATACTGCTGTATGAATTTCATCTTTGAGATTTACTTTTAAGCTAAGTTACAGTCTCATGAAAATCACAAAAACCCCATAAGCTCGGCCAACGCGGCTAGTACTGTAGGTAGCTTAAAAATTAATTTATAGGTGTAGGTAATTATTTTATTTAATGTAAACTTACCTAACTTACTTTAAAGTAATGTATAGCCTTTTCTTGCAAATTTCTTGTCTTATGTGAAATTAAAAAAAAAACTTTTTATCAGATTATTTTCATTCAGGTTTACACCTTTTTTTCAATAGGCCTAAATATTTTGAACTAATTTATTAATTTATTGAACCACTTTCATTTTAATAAAGAATATTAGAAATTTTACATACAAAAGCTGTTTGAAAGACAAGTTCTTAAAGTATTCAACTTTTTTTACTTGTTAGTGTTTTTTGTTCTACTTTGATCATGCTAATTAGGAAGTTTGGATGTTTCTTCATTCAGTTTGGGTTCGTCCTTCCAGTGGTTTTTGTCAGTTAAAAGAGATTTAATTTTCTCAAAACTTTGTTTATAGGCACCCAAGCTTGGTCTTTCTAATTTGTTTTAAAGGCGGTTGGTTGTTGGTCCTGCTGGATCTTTATTTTGATAACTGATGTCAATCACCTCTGCCACCCACCACTGTCATACACAAATGCAATAGAGTCTTTGGTATGAAGTGTAATTTTTACAGCTTTCAGTTGCTTGTGAGGTTACGAAGCACCTAACATTACTACTGTCCGGTACAGGAATAAAACAAAGGAAGCTTCTTGTTCCAGTAATCTTTAAACAGTTCTCAAATCGGTCCAGGAGTTGAGGTGTTGTTGTGGTGTTGAGTGATTTCTTCATCTGTTATAAAAATGAATTATTTTGTTAAGAAAAACTGTGTTTTGTGACTCATTTACATCTTCCTGTAGGTACTGGAGACTGTATCAGTTCCCACAGAATATGAGTTATTTTTTTCAAAATACCACAATAAACACTTTATTGATTTGTGTTATACAGGTTACGGTACATTAAATCTAAATGGAAAATAAATTTTAAGACCTCAATATAAATAGAATTAACTAAGTTTTATTTAAGTTAAATGATGAATAAAACTTAAAATTTAGCAGGATTTTATTTATTTTTAGTACCATAGCGGTACATATAGGCCTAATTTGTACTTTGGGTACAAAGTTTAAGTTAAAAATCAGTTTTGGATTTTTGAAATGAACATTAAGATAAGTTTACATTAAATAAAATAATTAACTACACCTATAAATTAATCTTTAAGCTACCTACAGTACTAGCCACGTTGGCCGAGCTTATGGGTTTTTTGTGATTTTCATGATACTGTAACTTAGCTTAAAAGTAAATCTCAAAGATGAAATTCATACAGCAGTATAAAAACCGTAAAAGGGGTTTTTGGTAAAAATTTCAGATTTTTAAACTTTGTCCCAACAAAGATATTGAGACTCAAAATTTGAATTTTTCAAAAAATTTCAGTTTTTGAAAAATGATAGCCTAACTTTTAAAGGAATTAAGTCTCATGGTTGATATTTTAAATACAAACAGTTCTACTGAGTTGCTACACACACAAAACAAATCAAGTCTGAGATTTTATTCGTTCCAATGGTAATACGCCTTCAAAAGTTGAAATTTGTCCGTTTTCTTATGAAATGTTGAGATGGGTCTAAAACTGTTTTTGATACACATTTCAATAAATATGTACTGAACATAATATTTAGGCTGTTTCTTCCAGATTAAAATGCTTTTTGTTTCATCACTCTAGTGTTCATGGTTACCGAGTTGTGTAAGTTAACGCAAACCCTTACATGAGCAAAAATTTGCGTGTTCCGCAAAACAAAAATGGCCGCCGTAGAAGTAACAAAAGAGATAAAAAAAAATTAAAATCACTTTTGAACCCAGAATTGATATAGTTATCTAGGATAAAATTATTATTTATTTTAAAAATGGTCAAGCAACCAATTATTTTATTTCTGGATCACTTGATATGGATTGACCCATTTTGGCGATTTTGCAGACCTTTTCTTGAAAATTTGTAAAAATTCAAGCCGTAGAAGTAGGCCTAAATCTAGCCAACATCATATTCCTTTTGTTTGGAAAGAACAGGAGATTCTAGAAATAGTAATATAATAATGATTTCAACAGTTTTTTTTTTGTTTTTTTTTTTCTATAAAGTGAAAAGAATAAAAAATGTAGAATTATATTTTTGAAATTTCAAAAGCAGTCTGGGTAAAATTTCATCTACAGATTTTTTATGGGAAATTCATTATGTAGGATTGAGGACAATTTAATTCCCTACATAAAAATATATAACATGTTAGGAAAATATTTTTTCTTTGTAAGTTTTTTTGGCGTAGTATAATAACAAACGGAGAACCGAAAAAATTTAAAACCGCTCAGTGTTAGTTTGTTGTAAAAAAGTTATATAATATATGTATACAAGCTGCTATACCTGTGCTTTGCAACGGGAAGAAAATGTGACCTTACAAGCTATTAAAGTGGTGCTGATGTGTGTTTTAAAATACAGCAACTCTATGATTAAAGCTGGGTTTTCCTAGGCGCGGAGTCGGCGAGCGGAGAGAGGAACACGGAGAGCGGAATTGAAATTAACATGGCATTCCGCTCCGCTTCTAGGAAAACAGTAACATTAAATTGCCTAAGACAAGTGGAGTCCGCTCTCCGCGTTCCTCTCTCCGCTCGCCGACTCCGCGGCTAGGAAAACCCGGCTTTGGTTTGAAAATATAAACTGATTTAAAAGTGTAAACCTACTTACTAAGTATAAGTACTTTCAAACCCCTACTTTTGATGTTAAACATGTTAAACATGTGTTGATGTTAATGGATCCAAAACAATATGACAACTTACCTTAGTGCAGCAATAGCATCAATTGCTTCATATTGATGATTCATAAATAACATGTTTTACCATAATTCTTCAATTTTAGTCGAGCCATTTTACATGTAGCTTACTATATGAATTACAATGAAACAATACTTTACAAAACGTATTACAATCTTTCTTTAAAACCAAACATAACCCTCCTCAATCTACATAAAGCGTCAAAAACATTTTTCTGTGAGAAAATAAACAAACACCAGTTCATTGAACTGACCAGCTGTTTCATTAACTAAATTAAATTAAATCATCTAAACTTTGGAAGCATGCCAGGCGTAGCCCTTTGGAAATAAGCCTGTGGGGCAGAGCCCTTAGGAAATTTGTCTATATCAATACTTTTCGGCAAATCTACACACTCTAAACTTCATTTTGATGTGCCGTATGCCTATATTTTTATTTGGTAAATGGCCTTAAACGTTTACATAAAAATTGATTGTATCACTTAAATAATATAATAGATACCTACTAATAATAATATTTACTTATTTGTAAAGCGAATTAGTACAAGTCAAGATGATCATGTTTTTTATATTTTAGCGATTTTGTGGGGAAAAAGTTCATAGTATTTAGTTATATTAGCGGAACATAACTTGAAACCATCGGAACTACCTCCAACCAGAATAACAACCACATCAAAAACTTGTATAGACCTTTGCTGTACTAACATAAACAAGGAGGACCTTGAAGTAAAAACCCATAGTAACTCAATATCTGACCATCAAGCAATTACCTGCCAACTAAAAATAGGACACAAAAAACCTATAGCACCCATAAAAAGACAAATTAGAATAACATCTCCAGCAAATCTAGACGAACTCAGAGCATCCCTCAAAAATCAAGATTGGTCTACTGTCTTTTCTCTAAACAAAATGTGGATGAAAAGTATGATGCCTTTATAAGAATTATACAATACAAAATCGAAGAAATCATGCCTAAACAGTACAAAACTTTTCACCATAGCAAGAAAAAAAAGATATTCTGGAATGATAAACTTACTAGACTGAAAAACTTGTCCAACTAGCAGAACATAAATACTTACTCTCAAACAGGGTTGAGGACAAACTCTCGTACGTTAAAATGAAAAGAGCATATGACTTAGAAGTCAAAATCCAAAAATCAAATGCTGTTGTCCAGAAAATAAAAAATGCGCCCAACAAAAACAATGAACTCTGGAGCACCATAAATAAAGAAAGAAATGCGGACAGGAAAATTAAAGAGGAAATAAATCTTATTCAGCAATGAAAAACTGACTACCGACCCAACCCACATCTGTAACCTTTTAAACGACCACTTTATCACCCTCGGAAAACCACGCCAAACTCTGCACAATAGGACCTCAACCACCCCAAAACCGAAATCTAAACCCAATCTGCCACAACAACCCAGAGCCGACTCACTAGCAAACTTTAACAAGATAACCAAAAAGGAACTTGAACAAATATTTGACAATCTACCGCCTAAAAACTCTTCTGGACTAGATCAAATATCTAACAAAATGATCAAACACTGTAAAAGGGAAATAATCACACCACTCTTACATATCATCAATACATCTATAGAACAATCTAAAGTCCCCAAATCAGCAAAAATTGCCTTAGTTTATCCCAAATTTAAGAAGGGTGAGAAAACCTGCATCTCAAATTACCGGCCAATATCTATCCTACCCACGCTCTCTAAATTTATAGAAAAGGCAATACATAATCAGCTCATTACATACCTGGAGGACAAAGGAAAGTTTACCCAATCACAGCACGGCTTTAGACATGGCAGATCAACAAATACAGCCCTTGCAAATCTATGCGAGGACATAACATCAATCTGGGAAAAAAAACTCCAAGCAACAAGCATTTTTCTAGACATAGAAAAAGCCTTCGATAGCTTGAATAGAGAAATACTAGTTGAGAAACTTCAAGAACTAAATATCACCCATAATGCTTTAATCTGGCTCCAAAATTACATGACAGACCGACAACAACTTGTAGAACTAGAATACACTAAAAAAAAACTATGAAATCAAATACAGATCTAAACTTCGAGAAACCTATCAAGGAATCCCGCAAGGATCTATACTTGGCCCGATCCTCTTCCTAATATATATAAATTCTTTTCCGAATGACCTATCTAGTGATAGCTCCTGCATAATGTTTGCGGACGACACTACCATAATTACACCAACAAATTCCAACACCCAAAAGGAAAAAATAGAAGAAACACTTCAAACTTCAATAGCCACCTGCAACTCATTAGACCTAAAAATAAATCAACAAAAAACAACAGTTTTAAACTTCACTTCTAACAGCCAGATACAGGAAGGAAATGAAAAACGAAACGCTAAATTTCTCGGAATCACACTGGACAACCGATTAACATGGCATGACCATATTGAAAATCTGGACAGTAAACTATCCCAAGTTGTATATGCTCTAAGGAGAATCAGGAAAATCACAAACAAAGAGATCTGCAAAACGGCATACCACGCTCTCTTCTCCTCACACATTAGATATGGCATAATTGCATGGGGCTCTGCCAATGAAACCGACCTGAAAAAAATACTAGTACAACAGAAAAAAGCCATCAGAATCCTAGAACAAGTTGATCGGGAAGAACACTGTAAACCTCTCTTTGTCAAAAACCAGATCCTCACCTTAACATCCTTATATCTTTACGAAACCATCCTCTTTATCAAATCAAACCCACCTCAACTCAGAATAAACTGTCACGAACACAACCTCAGAGTAAAATCAAACTTTAATCTAAACCAACACAGACTAACGAAAACCAGCAAAACACCAAATTACATGGGAATAAAACTATACAACATCTTACCCAACAAACTTAAAGACATAAACTTGCTCTCTAACTTCAAAAAACAGCTGAAACAATACCTCTTAAATCAACCTTATTACACAATTACAGAATATCTAGAAGAACATAAATTTCCTACAAAATAACACTCATCATACAAATCACACATTCAACCACACTACAACACTACACACAATCAAGAAGCTAGCAAGAAGAAGATAAGAATTGACAATTCCCCGGTCTCCAAGGACTGCGGCGAAGACTTCGATGGTAAATGGTAAATGGTATAAAACTTGTGTACCAAATGTTTTGACTTCAAACCAACATAATCATCTTGTAGTGTATTCAATTACCTACATAAAAATGTATAACACATTGGGTAATAATATATTAAACGGAAAACCGCAAAATACAATTGTGAGAAAAATACAACCTTTTATAAACACTATTAAACACTATTCAGTAATATTCATGCATAATAAAATGTATGAAGATTACTGTTAGGCCTATATACCACACACACACATTTTATTTATAAATTTATAAATAACTGGCTGGGTAGCTGAGTGGTTATAGTGCTCGATTAGTAATCAAAAGGTCGCCGGTTCAATCCTGAGAAAAGTCAGTAGCTTTTTGATGGTTCGAAACTGGACCCAGCTGTTCCTGATCATTGGGCTTTAAAAAAATTATCCTGACTAATGAAACCGCTGATCTTAGTCAGTAACAAAGCTACACAGGTCATCACACACCATTCTACACTCATATTTGGGTTAAAATATGCACCTAGGTGGCGTCCCCATCTCAATGATTGATAATTGAATTTCTCTAATACTAAGAAATAATAACGAATTTAGTAATAAATCGGGGATAACACGAGAGTGAAAAATCACCGACAACAACACGCAATGGCGAATACAAGGCACTTTGTGTATGAGACCTTGACAATAGTGACGCACTTTCGTCGTCTTCCTGAGAGCAAACGGCAATAACCTTGAGCAAAGGGATGTCACTCTCAAAAGCTTTATTTCTTCCTCTTCAAAATGACATAGGCCTACTATATGACTAGTAATAATAACTTACACTGTATATAATTCGTATTTTCCGTACTATCGTATTGCGATGGTTGGCCATTTGTTATAAATTCCGAAAACAGCTGTTGTTTTCATAAAATCGTAACTGTTGTCCAATCAACATTTTGTTCTAAAAATCAATACCACCACAATGAAAATAAACTCAACGGCTATCCAGTGGTACCACCCGCAACATCCAAACACAAAAATTACCCGAGCAGGGTAATGCCAAACAAGTTGTATTTTTACATTTTCCAGGCGTCGATGGAAGGAATGGCGTGGCGGCAAAATTTAATTGTAATTATAACCTTCGTGACATTGTTATACAACTTGTAAACGGTTAATTAATGTAATAAAATGAAAGTTCAGAATGTGATCTTTCGAATGGTACCTACTTATAAGTATTGTTCTCTTCTGAGATGATTATTGGTGGTTTTTTACCGTTACAAAAGTGTTAGCTCATACTATCGCATTATGATAGTGGCCATTATAGGAATCACGGCAAACGAGCGTATAAGTTAAATATCGTTGGCTACTGCTAGGGTTAATATGATATAGTGAGTGATTTATAAATTAGGCTTTGTTTATTTAAGTTAGCCTTTAATATAAGCTAGGCTAATGTAAATATGCCCATTATGTAGACTACCTATATCATTAAACACTATGTACCTACGGTATCTTTACATCATAGCCTATAGCCTCACTAAGGCTCATATCATACCAGCACTATTGTCGTCGCGCAGATGCCGTTGAGATAGCACCCGAATAAGTCAATATCATACTTGACGTGACACCGGGTGTCTGTCACGCTACGTCTTCTGGGCGCATTAAACGAACTGTTTAGATGCATACTGTATTTAAACTTAACTTAAATTTAGGAGAGCATTGTTTTTAGACGCGAGATCACTGGTCTCAAATCTTTCCCACGAGAACAGTCGTTTCAGTACCGCCCACTTCCTGCCGACCTAGTCCGGTTAAACCGATGTGATGATAAAAATTGTCCGGTCAAAGAGATATCATTTCGGGCGAGTGTAGTCCGGTTAAAAGGTGCCCGGATATGAGGGAGTCTACTGTATTGGATAATAATTATTAGGTACTTATACTAGGCCTAGGGCTGCCATATCACCGGATTTCCCCCCTCAGAGATTAAGTTACCGGATTTCAATTGCGTTTTATGGGGTGAAATAAATTAGGCCTAGGTGTTTGCTGAAAAAGTGGAAGAAGAAAAAAGTGTTTGAAATGACCTGAATAATAAGAAATATACTTTTTACTTAACTTAAAGTTTAAAATAGTTTTTCTAGCAGCCCACCTAAAATCACTGATTTCTAGCATTTTTCTCGGCTGCACTTCAGTTTCCGTCCTACATGTGATGTATCACATGCTGCAGTTTGGTTAAACTTAAGGTTAGGTTTAGTTTAGAACAGTATACAGTAGGCCTAGAACATCGATAACAAGACTCTCATAAGGTTGACTTCTTATTGAGGTTTGTAATAACATGTGATTAGGGTTAAATTCAAGGGGATTTGAAAATTGCAATTGTTAATAAGGGTGACTTGTTATCGAGGGTTTTCTTATCAAGGTTCTACTGTAGCCTATAATGCACAATAGTAAATGCAGGACATAAACTTAAGTGCAACCTTTTTCTCGATTTTCAGGTTGAAATAGGCTAGGCAAAAGTGAAAAAGGTAAAAAGTGCTGAAAATAGCCTTAGTCTAGTTTTTGCAGGCCTAGATAAGGTAAAAAAAGCAATATAACACAAGTAGGCCTAGTATAAGTTCAGTATTACCCCGTTAAAACAGGTACTGTAGGCCTATTATAGTTCTTTTTAACTTAGGCCTAACTTACCATTTTGATGAGGTGGTCTAATATGAGCTAAATAGGCTAGTGGTTAAGCTGGCCAACAACTATAACAAAACAACGGGTGGACTTAGCTTAGGCTAGGCCTACACGAAATATTTATAAGACTATAATTTAGTGTCATTAACTAAACTAAATTCCATAATCTGAGACTTGGTTCAACAAAGTCTATGAAAACTGTTCATCATTTTAATAGATTAGATAAATGAAATGGAACAGCCATTTTATATAGTTTTTTATTTTGACACTACTTACTTTGAAGAAAGATTGAAGTGAAGATTGTTATTGTGGTTTTGGAGTGAGTGGAGTGGACCGAGAGGCGAGCCAGTGGAGTGGATTGGTGAAGAGAAAAAAAACGAAGAACTTGATTCTTTTAAGCCAAAAAGTTTCAAATCATGCAGCTTTAAAGCTCAGTTAAGAACCTTCGTAACCTGGCAAGAAAATTTGATTCTCTTCATTGGCAGTGGCAGTATTAATCCCATTCCCTTTTATGCCCATTACCCATATAATAGATTTTTCAACATCAGACTTCTACACACTAAACCAACCAAATATATTCTAGTTTTATATTTTTGTTCATATTCACGCTACCGGGAATTACACACTGTATCTAAATAAAATTATAAGTTTTTTTCATGTCAATAAATCTGTTTATTCATCAAATTTTGTTGTTGTCACTATTAATTTATTACCACGTTAAAGTCTTAGGTATTTTGTGTTATGCTTCGCCTTCCACCATTATGCTTCGCTATAATTACATGTACGAGAACCTGGAGCGGGGAAATTAATTAATAAGTTGTTTGGGCTGTCTGCTGCCCATACACCATGCATCAGGCATCTCCCAGATAGCAAGACATCTGCTCATATAACAAGATTTTCTTTCTGATAACAAGACATTCCATCATATAACACGTAAAAGGTGGCCGTGGCCGTGGTATACCTGTACAGTATTTGTTTTCTATTTTGTGCTGGTTTTAATTTTCTTTTCAATACAGCACAATACATATATTCCCTCCACAAAAGAGTCAAAGATGGTCAATAATAATGTAATTTTTAGCAAATGATAAATTGTACATGCAAGGCAAAGTAAGGCCAAGCTGTCGGAATGGGGGTACCGTACCAAATTTAGTGTATTTGACTTTTTTGAATCAGTTTACACTTTACAGAATATTTGTACAAAACCTTTCTGTACCTGGGCAAAATTATACTATAATGCAATAGCATGGATAAAACATGGTAATAGTTACCAAGATTATTCTTAGTTTATATTATTCATTGTGACCCTTGGTTGGAATATATAATTGATAAAATAGAAGAATTACCTTATCCAACCACAGTTGCTGTTGCTGGTATGACAACTAGTTTCAGGTCATTGTCATTGTCCTGGTCATTGTTTGCAACCACATCATCAATGTATTAATACATTGATGATGTGGTTGCATACAATGACCAATGTTCTAAGGAACGAAACTAGTTGTCATACCAGCAACTGTGGTTGGATAAGGTGAATTCTTCTATTTTATCACTTAGTTTAATGTTTATAGTTAAAGGGTATTTCTATTGGGCCTATGGTTAGTGTATAATGCCAGAATGGTTTTTGGTTTGTAAAACTCCACCCTTGTGTATAACTTGGCACAACCTGATAAAATTTTGTTTGCAGTATATTTTTGATGGAGAATACAAAACTTTTTGTACTTTTACCTAACCCGCCATGTTAAACTTCCCTATCCCATGCGTGATGTTTACAACATGATACAACTTCCTTACTTCTCGAGTGATGTAAAGTATCAAAAACTCACTCGGTGATGTAAAGAAACCCATTTAAATAACATTGAGTGCTTAACTTAAAAAATATACCTCTATGGAGCCAACGACGTACGTACAACGCTAGAAATCAGCTGTGCGCTTGAATGTTATTGTTATGCTTTAAAGTATTTTCCTAACCTAGCTTTTGTTTGTAAAAGAACGTTACTGTTACTGTTAGAAGATGAATGAAATGGATAATGAAAAATATTGTACGTAACCCCATGTATATTGTCGGGTCAGGTAAAATATTGTACGTTACACGTTACGCAAGAGCGTGTTTACATCACTTAAGTGAATTATGCAACTCGCTTCCGCTCGTTGCACAACATTCACCTGCGTGATGTAAAAACGCTCTTACTACACTTGTAATGTAAATAGCTATTACTACCAGGTTTTATAGTTTACCTCATCCTGTATTGTATTGTATTGCAGTCATTTCCATTTGTGTATCATAAAACTATTCTGAGGGGTGGAACGCAATAACAGATTATGTATGGGGAATGTTTTTATTCATATAACAATTTTTTGAACAAAAATACAAAACCCCCGATTTTTAAAACTTACTGTTACTAACTAACAACATTTCAATTATCACAATAAATACAGTCAAAATTCCAACTCCAACTAACCTCCGTAATGCATTTCTAGGCGTATTCACACCAACACTACAAACGTGTTGATTTCATCTATGTCATGCATAATAAAAGAAATAAAGCAGTGTTTAAAAGCATATCGTTTATTAGCAAGTATAAATTAGGGTATATTATTCAATAAAACTGGATTAACATTAAAGTCATATCTAAAAATATATAAAGAGTGTAAAAATAGTCTTAGTGAATCAGTGTTACTAATTTTTCATTTAAAGTGATATTTAAAATATACACCATAACAATACAAGCATTCCTACATATTTAATGTCACTATAAAATTATATTTTATCTACAGTGTGACATTCACAAAAACGTGTTAGTTATTTAATTTAACAATCACCCTCTCTACTACATCCTTACTATCTTTTACAATCCATTACGAAGGAGATTTTTTAACAGCATTACTCACAATAACAATCCTGAGATTAATATTCCTTTTATCATTGATCTAAAGTAAACTAACTTAATCAAAACAAACAACAGTTTAAATGCCAGGAATTTACTTTTACAATTTAACAATGTTATCTGATATAAAGTATGTAATTAATGGGGCACACACAGTTTTGGGCTTATCAGGCTAGTTTAAAAACTAAATTTTAGGCAATTCATTACTAACCAAAGTATTTTTTTCCCAAATAAAAACTATGAAAGCCAGGTTAATATTAGAGGCCCTGTAGTTCTTTTATGTAAACGAGCCTTGTCCTCAATAATTGATACAATATTTTCCCAACACTTAGTGTACCTAATAAAAAATACCAAGAAGTATTCAGCAGGAAAACGATGAAATACTTGAAACTCATCAACTCCTTTAAAGTTTGACTTATTACATTTGGACTCGAGAATTCTGGAAAAAGTAGGCTCGGCTCAAACTAATTGCACATACTCCTGAGAAAAGTTAAGTGAAAACAAAATATCTGAAATTTATAAATGTTACATAATGGAGTGTTATAAGTTTAAAACGGCAGTGATATTGATTACACAATAATTATTTTTAAACAATTAACTAGAAATGCAAAAACAATTCAATAGAACCTTTTATTTATAGGTATAAACAATCAATCCATATAAATTCGTACTTGTAAAATTGCAATAAGTATCTATTCACTATCAAAAACATCGAAACAGGTACTGGTTGTGTTGAAAGCAAGGTGCAGTGATGCAGTTCACTATCTAAACCAAAATAGAAATTAGGACACAAATTACAAAACCCAAAGTTAGAACAATGATTGGAACACCAAAATAAACTACAAAAACCACATTGATCACCCTACTGATTATCCGCAACTAATTTTCTGAATAATGAAATTTGGCAGTGGCTGCGCTCTTTCGAGCAGACTTTTTGCCCCTTCTCTTGTGATTACGTTTGCTGCTGCACGGCAAAAACTGCTTCGGATCCTCTTTTTGTCCGTCGTCTGATTCTGCCGACTCTGAGATATCCGACACTTCCGACACATCGCTGGACTCTGGCTCTTTCAACCAGATGTTATTTATCACAGACATATCACTTTCTCCCTCCGATTCTCCTCCACTTTCACTAAGTCTTCTTTCCATCGCTCGCTTTTTATTTCTTGTTTTTCGCTGATTCTTTTTTCTCTGTCCAAGGATACTGGAGTTCATTCTGCAATAAATATAGTTTGATAAATAAAAGTAGAACATTTCAATAAGGAAGATTACTATCAGGATTGTTACTTGTGTATATGTGTTATAGATATATAGTTATAAAAAAGCCTTTAATAAAACCTTTAATTATAGTATACCAAAGGGAAAAAGCCAGTGCCATAATGTTCAAATCTAAATTTCAAGCTAAGATGAAACGTCCAATTAACATTGCTATAGGCCTATAATTTAACAGTGGGGTTGCTGAGCCGAACTAGTTTCAACCAGGCTCGCACAATCCTACCTTCGGATTACTTGACTTTTTTAAACTGGCAGATATACAGATACCAATAAATTTGTAATTGAAAACTTGATAATAGATAAAGTGAGTTACGATAGAAATATACAGAAAGTAAATAAAAGAAACGTCTTATAACACTTAAAACATATATTTACGCTTATACTGTTACTCACAAGACGGTAAATATACAAAAACGATGGTAAGTGGTGATCGATTTCGATTGGACACTCCAATCATCATCAGACCCACTTTCATAAATTTATGTAAATTTATTTATGTGTGTTGGCACACACACAAGCCAATAGGAAAAAAGAACTGGACACCATTAAGAAGATCGCCCAAGTGAATGGATTTCGAACCAAGACGATAGAGGACATCGCAAGGAAGACGAGGAGAAAAATCGATAGACAGAATACACTACACAGCAGAACAACATTAGAAGAGATAAAAGAGGAAAGCACCAGATATATCACATTTAGCTACACGGGGACTACAACACAAAGGACTGCTAACAGATTCAAGAAATACGGAGTTTCAATAGCCTACAGGACTCAGAACACCATGAGTAAAATACTGCATCCAAAAATAGAAGATTGTAACAAATTTGACACTTCGGGCATCTATAAAATCAATTGTAACGATTGTGATAGCTTCTACATTGGACAGACTGTGAACTTCGTAAACCGCTTCAAAAACCACATATCTGCGTGGAGGAACAACAAACCGGAAAGATCAAATGTCGCACAACACCTGTTACAAAATGGGCACTCACTAGGAAAAATGGAGGATAGTCTAGATATTTTAAAGAATTGTAAGAAAGGATATGTAATGAATGCTTGGGAAGAATTGTATATTTATAAGGAAAAATGTAAAGATAGAAATAAGTTGATTAATGAACAAATACATTTTGATTCCAGTTGTACTTATAAAAATGTATTGGCCGGTGCTTCCGGTAGCCAATAGGGTATAAGTAGGGACGCCATTCAAGATTCTTGTCATTCGCCTATTGGGTCTGATGATGATTGGAGTGTCCAATCGAAATCGATCACCACTTACCATCGTTTTTGTATATTTACCGTCTTGTGAGTAACAGTATAAGCGTAAATATATGTTTTAAGTGTTATTAGACGTTTCTTTTATTTACTTTCCATAAATTTAATAACACGTACAATGCTGATCAAGAAGTTATTTAATAGAAATATGTGTGTTGGGTAAATGTTCAAATATAATGCTAGTTACTATACATTACACAATTATTTTGTAGTTCAACGTACTATGATGTGTCATGCTATGGAAGGATATAGGACGTAAATGAACAGGGTGTCCACAGAAATTTTGTCTTTAATTTCCCTGACTTTTCATGACTATCCATGACCATTAACCATTGATTTCCATGACTCACGAACTGAACTCAAAAATTATAATATACCGTATACACACGAATAATACTGCCTAGACAAGTTATATATTTCACAGAAAATATTGAAATATGTAATAACAGATAACAATGGAGTACAATAGGTACAACAATGAACTAATACAAACTCAAAACCCATCTATATAAATAAAATTAGAGTTTTGTCTGTACTTTGCTCAGAATTATATACTTTTAGGTTATTTTTACGTTTTATACATTAAAGAAGCAGAAACGAGTCTTATCTCTATTTCTGTCTGTCTGTCTGTCTTTCCCTTTGTCTGTAACACTCAAGATGGCATTTTACGCAATCTTCTCCGTGAAAACCAGAGTACCTATCAAGATCCAAGTCATTTTAATGTATTCACTGGATTGGCGAGAGTGTCTTTAGTGATTTAAATATAGCCTCACTACTTTGTAAATAAAATTACGGACGTTCAAAAATGCAGTTTTGTGCGATTTTTGTCAAATTTTCGTTCAATTTTTTTTATCACATAATCGTCTATGAAATAACGAACAGCTGTTCGGATCAAGATTATTTTTTTTAGCTGTCAATGATATGTTTACAAATACCGCAACCATTTCGAATCACGTTTTGAAAGCAAATCCCAACCAAGTGAGATTAAAAACGTTTTTCTTACATAACGGATTTAATTAATCACAAGTGCAATAATATAGTCTAATAGTGTAACCGTAAATGAAATTAAATAACTAGACATCGTCCAAATCGGAACCAGAAATTCTTTGAGTATAAAATGTTTCTTGAGTTTTGACAACCAGAAAGAAGACCTTGAATCAGTGTTGTATAGGGCTGGACACTGAAATGATCGTCGCCAATAGCTTACAAAAAAGGTTTCCACTCATTGACGGCGCTTCAATGGCGGTTGTGTAAAGTGTAAAGTAAAAAATCACAACTGCAGTGGGTGATTGTAACAGAGGTTTAACAGAGGAAGTGCTAAACTCGCTTTTCCAATGTGTCACTTTCTGTTTTTACTCACCGTGTGATGCAATCGCTGGACCATACAGCCAATAGGCCCATAGCTCATATCTTGGGTACGTAAGCCTACATATTTATTCATAACAACCTTTTTGACGACGATCCTTGATACCGGTACTTTTCCATAGAATACATGGCCTACCTACTTAAGAAATATAATTACAAATGACCAAAACCCCAACATTGTGTGATTTCCGTCACATTTCCTTCTAATGTTAATAGATATACTAATCATTGTTTAGAGAATGCGTAATCTATTAAATAACAAAAAGTTGTTTGGGTAAGGTTTTTTTTTTTCAAACTGACACCGATAAGTTTACGCTATAACTTTTTACGAGAAAATCCAAAAGCAAGAGATCAATAACCTCGGGACTAGATATTAATGTATTTAATTGGTCGGATGTACTATAGTTCTTAGGTAGGTTCTTACGTAGGTACTGGTTCTTTTCCTTAGAACCGTTGGTAGCTGCTAGAATCATTTTTACGTAGGTACCAACACATCACTGTAGTTTACAAATTAGTTATCGTTGGTGTTGCACCTTATTTATTAGAGCCGTCCGTATTCAATTTAAGTGATGTCTTAACTCTGTATAAGTTTTGCTTTTTCTGTCTGGATTCCAAATCTTAGCTTACCCGGTATGCTAAGAAAATGATAACGTATTTGAGTAAAACATTTGTTGGGCATCATGAATTGTTTACGCCTTTATATTGTTTATGTATCAATAGTTCGTGGCCTTTTTTGGATTGTTGTGTGTATGTCTGTTGGTAACGCATTAATGTCCTTATTTTTCAGTGTTTCACGGAATGGACAAGAGCACCTTTGATACTGAAAATGTCAACCGGAATAAAGTGTTAAATGGTGAGGTTGAGGTAGTACTTTAAATACGTTTAAGTTAACCGATGTGGAAAGTAACTTTCAATTATAGGCCTACTTTAGGGCTACGCTTCATGGATTTATAAAACATTTTTTAGTTTAATCATTGGACATATGAACCATAACGATCCGGGTGACATTTAATTGCGAAGCATTTATTTTGGCTTGAACTGTCAGATACTGTATTTGCGAAGGTTTATTTATAATAGTTTTGCCAGCATATCTGCAAATATGCAAACTAACTGCTGTTCTTAATCTTAATATAAGAAGGTTTCAACTGACTACTATAAGATCCCCGTGCGTAGAACGGGCACACAGCTAGTAAACTAAGACAACTGTATAAATTGAAATTGACGACTTTCCATTACTATCCCTGACTTTCCAGAATGTGGACACCCTGATGAATTATCTACTGATACTAGCTTGCCTTTCAACAAAATCTGGCTTGCAAGTTGAATCTCAAAGTTTGGAATAAACTTTGACTTCTACCATTACTCATAAATTTGAGTAGTACTAAATCAAATCTAAAGAGTTTGGAATAAACTTTGACTTCTACCATTACTCATAAATTTGAGTAGTACTAAATCAAATCTAAAGAAAGTCCAAGATTTTCAACCATGCGGCTACTAATTACAAGATTATTATGAAAGTTGAAAAACCATTACAATAGCTCTAACACTCTAATACAAATACAAAATTGATCTCAAGAGTGTAGTATAAAATAACGGGCCGCCGCAGCAAACCTGCATATTAAGTGAATTTCCACTATTCAGATTGGCTTTTCACTCAAATATTTCCTTAAACTAGAAGTTAAATTTATTTCCTTTCGAATAAATAATAGTAAAATAATCAAGGTTAAAACTTAGTATAAAATGAATAATATTGCCAAATTTAATCAAAACATATCCATAAGGAAACAAACTACAAAAGCTCAGATTCAGATCCTTTATTGATCACTAAACACAAATGTGCAATCAGTGGCGGTTCCAAGGGGGGGAGCGCTACAAGGGCTAAAGCCCCCCCCCCCCTTGGACCCTGGAAAAATAAATTTAAACGTACATTTCATCCTTAAAAAACGCAATGTTATAAAACAGACATCAATGTAGTTTTTATTAAACTTAATAAGCGATGGCAGGAGTATTATTAAGTTCCGTAAAGATAAACTTTGTGGGCAATAGCACAACGAATAAAACAATATTACACTATGGAAAGTTTTACGCATCATTCAATTTTTACAGCAGTCAGCTGTTGACATGCTAGGGCAAAGGCGAGCGCTAAGCACGCGAGCGAGGACAGGGAAACACCTGATTTCCTGGTTTTCCATAGTTAGGTGGTCGCTCATTAGTTGTCAAATTGTCTGCTGGCCACTAACTTTACACAGGCATCAATCAGCAATCAGGGGTAGCACCAGATTGACTATATAAACACTAGTGTTAAAGTTTATATAGTCAACGTTATTACTGAATTTGATACTAGACATTTTATGACAGATCTATGAAATGGAGAAAAACATAAGGTTAAAAAACTTGTCTACTTGCTTGCATGACATATAACAGGTGAAATGGAAGTTTTTAGTACAATTGGGCAGAGTTCTAGCCGTTAGAAATGGCTTTATAACGTCACCAAACGGCTTTTAGGAGATATGGCTTCGTAGTCTACAGTAGGCCTATGTTTTGAAATTCATGAACACAAGTTCGTCATAGTTTGATTTTTTAAATGTCTACTTAGTACTTGCTCATGACAAAGACAAATGACAGGTGAAATGGCAAATAACAGGTTTTTGGACAGTTGGACAGATATAGCCATTAATAATGGCTTTAGAAAGTCAGTCAACAGCTTTTAGGAGGATATGGTTAGTTTTAAAAATGTCTACTTATTCATGACAAATAGTTAAATGGGGAAATGGGACGTTTTGTACACAGTTCTAGACGTTATAACTGGCTGTAGAAAGTCACCCAACGGGTTTTAGGAGGATATGGCCATAGTCTACAGTGTGTTTTGAAATACATGAATACTTTACCACTGCAACGAACTTTTGAGTATGAATTCGGCCACCATGGAGAGTAAATATTGTAAACATGAGTTTAATTCATTTTTAAAAGTAAATGTTATCTGACAAGATCAATTCAGACATCTGGTCAACGATCCCCAGTTGTATGGTAATGGTGTTCCCTATATGAAAAATTCTCCTAAAAGTATATGGTTTCCTTACTAAATCCCATAAACATACATATTTGACCATAACAGAATTAAAATTAAATTATAACTATGATTTATAACTTTAATTATATTATGACTATGACTAAGAATTACCTGAATGTTTGAGTCTGTATCGCATCACTAAAGCGAACAGTTTTCTTGGGTTTTTCTCCATTTTCATCATTCCAAAAAGCATAGTCATCTGCACTTGACTCTGACAAACTTCGGCCTATCTTCAAGATTCCTCGACATTTACGCCGCTGCAATAAAGAAAAAAATATTTGTGATGATTTCCATCTTTAGCCATGATTGATCAGATATATTGCACAATCGAGAACAACTATTTCAAATTATACAGGTTACTAAATTACTACTTTTGTTAGGCCTATTTTGTTGAAATACAATACTAGCACACCACTGGCAATGTCCTTTAATACATGGCCGTGTCCAACAATCTTGCAATTAACTCCACTTATCATTATTGTTACGCTATGGCTACGTTACACCCATGCATGTACAGTAGACACCCTCTTATCTGGACTCCTCGGGACCGAGGCCAGTCCGGATAACGGATATTCCGGTTAAACCGACGTCCCCAAAAACTCGTTAAAACGGACTGTTTACTGTGATATTCGACTTAAATTTAGGAGAGCATTGTAGACACGTGATTACTGGTCTCAAATCTTTCCCACGAGAACAGTCGTTTCAGTTCTGCCCACTTCCTGCCGATCAAGTCTGGTTAAACCAATGTGCTGATAAAAATTGTCTGGTTAACGAGATGCCATTTTCGCCGAGTGTAGTCCAGTTAAACCGATGTTCGGGTAAAAGGTGCCCGGATAAGAGGGAGTCTACTGTAAAAACAAAATGTAAAGTTTGTACATTGACAATCACACCTATACAATTTCTATGTATGTTAATTCTGATAAGGTCCATGCAAATTCTGATTTGCTTTAATTTGTGAGGCACCCTCAATAACTACAATGATAAAAAAATGTGTAAGCATTAGAATTACACAGAAGCTCCAAATGAGATAGTGCTACAGCTGGTTGAGTGGTCGGGATTGGGGCATTGCCACATCCTTCTATTAGAAGAGGGGGAAGAGGCTGTGTCATTCGTTAACCCTAGATTCTCCTGAACTGGTTTGTTTCAGTTATGGGGTTAAAACATCTCAATTTGTAATTCAAACTTTTCACAATTTTTTATCCTGTTGGCAAACAATCAATTGTTTTTCTAGCTTTATTCACATTTCCATTACACCCTATATTGTATTTCTATAAACCTATTACCACAGTCCTTACTACAAACTTATGTATATCTAAAAAAAACCAATAGAAAACAATGTTTATTGAAAAAGGTTTTTTGTCAACGTTAGGCAATAAATAAAGAACAATATGTAAACAATAAATAAAGACAACGTAGTGTTGAGCACGAAACGTCGAGGGGGGAGCATAGGAGAGGTTGGTGGTGCGCGGGAGAGGGGGTGGCGCTGGAGAGGAGTAGGCGCGGGAGAGAGGGGGGAGTGCGGTTGTGAGCGCAGCAATGAAGAGAGCATGAAAGTGAAGTGAAAGGTAAAACTCACACCACAGTTAAACATAGATACTTTATTAGGCAAGATCCCAAAAGTATATCAACAAGCTCAAAACAACAATACATTCAAAACAAACATCAAATATGCAACATATGATAACAATTATAAAAATACCAAACAGCACAGAAAGTGGCGCCTTGGTACCGTGAAACATCTGGTTACTGCTCAAGCACCTACCAGTCTGTCTGAAGAGGAACTTCAAAAACCATAAGCGGATATATCCGCCACCCGTCCTTATCGCCAAAGACTGAGGCGGATATATCCGTCACCCGTCCGGGAATGGTTAATAGGCCTATTTATAATAGTTAATCCATGAAATTGGCTATTTTAATCTTTTTTCTAAGGGGGCGGTAAAAGCCCTGTGGTCTTGTTACTATCTAGAACATCAAAAAATTGATAGATATAGAATCATTATAACTGACAAGTTAGGTGGCATCTGGGACCAGGATCGAACTCACTTAGAATAAAACCAGCAATCTTTCGATTTGAAGGCGAGCAAAACAACCACTTGGCTACCAAAACTCTTTTTGTAAGATTAAGATATATTTATTTGAATTTTTCAGACAAATGTCTATTTTACAAGCATGAGACTAAACCTCTAAATTACATTAGTATTCAAATTAGGCCTATAAGTTTATACAGTAGAAGAATAATCGTGGCGACAGAAGTACAATCAGTTGACGTTGAATCTGTATTTAATTTTGAATAACTACCGTACAATCTAGGCCTAAAGTAAAAAAAAAAATGGCCTACTTACTTCCCCATTGTGAGATTCTGAAACTGTACGAGATTTGGTGGGTTTCTGGTGGGTTGGTGAAGAACTGCTTTCATCAAAACTGGATGCTCCACTCTCAGATATTGACAAGTCTCTTATCTCTTTTATCAACTTCTTTTCCTTATTCCCACTTTTGCTCTGCAAACTTTCTATCCTATATCCATTCTGTTCCTAAACAAACATTAAAGATGTTATTTTATAAATTTTAGCAACTTAAATTTAGATTGGCCAATAAACATTTTTTTTATTAACAAAAACCACCTATTGAGTGATTATTACCTAAATGTAACCTTGCACTCCAAAGTAAGTCTGAATAAACTAGGTATGCAACTTCTCCCAATTCAAAAATTAATTTGAGCAATTGCCATAGAGTAGGTACTTATTGCAATTTCTGATGAAGCGCCCCTACTGGTTTGAGGAAGAATAAGTAACACTACAAACACTACAACACTACAAAATCTACTAATGATGTTAATATATTTTGTGCTGACTAGCATGGGCGTGATCTGGCTGAGCATGTAAAGAAGTCACATGAAATTTTGGATTTGGTTATGCACAGCAAACAACGTTCTTGGTGAAATAATCCAATTCAATGAATGTCCAAGTAAAAACCACTTCTTTAGTAGTAAGTAGTCTTTGGATGAAAGTAAACTTAATTAAGAAAAAATAAATAAATAAAATAAAAACAACTTTAAAATAATAATGAAATATTTTCTAGGCTTTGACTGGTTTTTTGGAAACCAGAGTAGGCCTAGAAGGGTAGGACAGAAAGAAACAGTAGGCCTACCGGTAATGTTGATGTAGTCAACCTTTCTCAAAGTCATGACATTCGACGTTGGTCATGTGTAAACAAAAGGGCTTCAAGAACCAATGAGCCTCCAAAAGAACTTAGGGAACAAATCCGTAATCTAACTATGGTTAAGCAAGTGATTCTGACTGGCAGGCTGCATAAAAGACATGGACAACGCCTCTACCAGATGCTGTCCAGACTGTTCGTTGAGAGTCTTGTCAGCATATAACAGTTTCCAGCTGCCTTAAAAACCAGGGAGATGAGTCAACCCCCTCCAGGAACATAGTTGGTGACGGAAAACTCTACCCTACTGGTTTCAATGGCTCAACGATGTTAAATCAGCAAGTATAACTGTTTTCTTGTATATTAAAAATCTAAAACTTGAGTAAGGCTACAAGCCATCACTGATCAAAGGTTTTTTCTAAGTCAATTTAAACTGTTAAATGTTTATGTTGGCTAACCTCCTGAATGTCTGGGAGATTCCTCTTCTCAGTTTCTCGAACAACTGGAATATCAGGAGTTGATATTTTCTCTTCACTGACCGCAGCCAAGTGCTAAAAAATGTTAGGTACCATAAGTTTTAATTAACTACTATAGGAAAAGGTCTCGATTTTGAAATTGTAAAAACAATTCCATGCTGATGATTGTTATAGAATGCAACAAATAAGTTATAGCCCAGTCAATCTAGGTTTTTACCCGGAAATGCGAGATATAAAGCTAATTTTTTGCACAGATGTCCGTTATGGTATGTAAAATCACACCCTAAAAGTCCCCGCCCGTACCCTGTGTGCTTCCCCCATTTTAACGAAATAAAGGGGGGGAGGGGGCGCGACTTATTTAAACGTATCCGTGAACGCGATAGCTTGAGTAATTTTGGTCCGATTTTGATTAAATTTGGCTTGAAGGTTTAAGATGGGATAATCTTAAATGAGTTGGCAAATCAGCATGATCGGACCATGGAAACGGGTGTTTACAGGGGGTTTTATGGGGTAAAAATTGAATTTTTTAATTTTTGACCCTCAAAACACAAACATTTCTAATTTCTCTCTAAACCATTTTAAAAAGCTTAAATAATCAAATATTTTAGTATATTAAAGTGTTTTTGTAAGGTTATTGGTTACGAAGAAAATTCAAAAAATTATAAATTTAAAATTACCATGTTATTCTTAAGGAGAATAAGTTAGCTGTTGTAGTTTGCTTGTTTACGGATATATTTTCATCAAACTTGGCAAATCAACTTAAATTATACTAAGCTATTGATATTTTACTAAAAAATGCACATCATTACCCTCCCTGTAGCTGCAAACCTACGTACTTGTTAGGCATAATGTTATTTAAATAGATTTAATTAAAAATCCAATCGGGCAAATGGAAATTCACTTAGTCTGCAGGTTCGCTGCGGCGGGGGTATTTTCATACAAAGTTGCAATGTCCTTAATTTACTTTATCAATGGTTTTCGTGGGATCACATCATTTGTCCGAGTTTTTAACTGTCCGAGTTTGTTAAAAATTACAAAATATTTGAAAAATCAGTTGTCCGAGTTATCATTTGTCCGAGTTTTGATAAATAACTAATAATAATTAGATAAATCAACTGTCCAAGTTTTCATTTGTCCGAGTTTATTAAATTATTTTTTAAAATATCGAAATATCAAGTGTCCGAGTTTTCAACTGTCCGAGTATGGTTTAAATAATAATATTTCGTTAAATCAACTGTCCGAGTTTTCATTTGTCCGAGTTTTTAAATTATTTAAAAAATATCAAAATATCAACTGTCAACATCAAAATGTGACACTGCGCGCCGAGACTAGTGTGTCTAAAGCGCCTGGTCAGAAGTCGATGCAAACCCCTTCTGCGAAGGAGTCAGGCATTGTGCGAGCCGCGAGAGGCCCTCACGTCGAATTAAGAAAAATTATTTTATTTTTATTATAAGACTAATTTTACAATTATTAATTATAAAATTAAAATATCATCACCTAACACAACCAACCAAACTTGCTGATAATATAAAATACCCCCGCCTCAGCAAACCTGCAGATGAAGCGAATTTCAACTTGTCTGATTACATATTTACTAAAATATTTCCATAAATAAGCGAGTGCTTAGGTTTGCTGCTACGGGGAAGGTAAACAGTGTTTTTTGACCGGACAATGGGAACGGGGGTTTATGGGGTAAAAATGGGGTTTTCCCATTGTTTCCAACAATTTCCTTCACCTTGGAAACTGGAACATAACAATTTAATGTTTGACCTATTATGAGGAAATAACCCGGGCGTTTTGACAGCAACAGTGACGGTTCAGCTATGCTCTGTACGATTCGGAAGTGTTCATCACTGCGCGGTGGTGGGGAGGGGTCACCGGATTTTTACCCCCCGGAGTTTCACCCCCTAGCCAATTTTAGGAATTGAATGATTGATTTTCTTTTTTCTGTTTTTAATTAATTGTAAACATTTCATTATTTAGTAGCCTATCTTTATTTATTTATTTTGTAATCTCAACTAAGTAAACAGAATTCGCTGTTAAATTTTAATGTTCGGGATTTGCGTTTGGGGCCAACTGTTGGTTAATAAGTACCTATGTAAATTAAACTGAGTAGCTCATTTAAATGATAATTGGGTGAACATTTCTTCGTAAAGAAACAATAAGGCATATTTTGTTATTGTTACAATACAAACGAAAAACATTGTTTTACCACGGTTGTATGATAAATCGTTAAAGAAATCTTCGAATCAATTACCATTCTGATGTTTGTTTACGTCATATTAATAAACAGTTGGCTTCAAAGATCGAATCCTGATACTCGAATCTCAAAATTAAAATCAAAAACCTGTTTGATTAGTTGATGTTACAAATAAATTAAGATAGGCTACTTAATAATAAAATGTTTAGGCCTACTATTAAATTAAAACAGAATGAAGATAATTAAACCATTCTCACTAATTTATAAATCTGGCCAGGGGGTAAAATTCCGGGGGTAAAAATCCGGGGGTTAAAATTCTGGGGGTAAAAATCCGGGGGGTAAAAATCCGGGCCGTACACTCTAGGCTTTTATAATTTGATGTGTTCTGATTAAATTCACAACCGTGAAAATATATGTTTAATTCTGCGTTTAATCCATCGAGCTGATGTAGCGAAACTCAAAAGTTCGCGGCCGGAATTTTACCCCCTGGTTTGTAACGTCATGTTTGCCCAGGGGGTAAAATTCCAGGCGGATAAAAATCTGCTACCCCGTGGGAAGTTGTTCCTCCAGAGAAGGTCTCGTTGCAGGGTGCAGTAGACATGTTCAAGGGTGCATGCACGACGCGCCGTTCACGTTGACGTTGAAACCTGTGAGCGATGACTGCCTCTGCCAAACTGCGACCCCTGGCATCGCACCGTGCCGGCATCCGGCATCACTACTAATCCGACGATTGCCTTTAAGTTATGTATACTTTATTGTGTACACATTTTACTGCATCTAAATCAGTTTTTTGTATATCTGTATATCTTACCGTTCTCAAGCATTGCGCTTGTAAGCGTGGTTTAAGTAATATTCGCCCCTCCCCCTTTTTTCTTTATACCGGAAGAAGCACACAGGGGACGGTAGGGGACTTTTAGGATATGGTCAAGGATATCATAAAGAACATCTGTGCCAAAATTCAGCTTTATATCTCGCATTTCCGGGTTTCCATGGTTTTTTACCTAGATTGACCGTGGCCTATTAGGCCTATATGGTTTTTATAACTTACCTAGGCCTACAGTAATTAAGTAACATTATTGTTGAGACAAAATTACCAAATGGACAAGAAATATACAAAGACTTTCCATAATATGATTTACTTGTTAAATGCCACAAATAATATCAATCACGGCCATAGATGGTAGATAAGGTTAGGGTTATAGGCTAGTGTATAGCTTTTCAATACCCAAACAAATCAATTTGAGATTTCAGTGTGCTGTACTAGTTTGACTGCTGTCTACTACCTACTTTATTAAAGAAGACTTCATGAATAGAAGTACAGCAACTCGCAAACACGGGAATGGCAAAAATATAGACAAAAAAACTTGGCCCATGGTTGACAGTACCTACTAGAATAATACGGCCAACATTTTTAACAAATTGACTGATAAGAGGTCTAGATGTAACCCTCTTTAACTTTGGCTAACAATAAAACTGTTTACTGACTTGGCATTAAAAAAATTTAAGCTAGGGCCTAGCCTACACAAGTAAGTGAATTACATGTCAATAACATTAAAAAAGGTATTACCTGCTTTAGATCATCGTTCAATGAGTGTGTCTTGGCATCCTTTTCATCAGTGCCTACATAATATTTAAACGTTTGTACATCAAAAGAGGCAGTGATTTTGACTTGAGCAATTACATTGTTATCCCAAACTTCAACGTGAAACGATTCACTTTCTATTGGGGTAGGCAATCGAACATACATTGCATAGTTAACAGGGAAAAAACTATTGCCAATCGATATGAAAGTTAAATGAAATCCAGGGTATTTACTTAAGAAACAATATGCAATAGATTCAGGGTTTACATTTGGTATCTGAATGTTGAAAGAAAGAGTGTCTTTTACAAGGTGACATTCAAAGTTTGGAATGATATAGTGAATATTTGGTTTGAGAAATCTTTGTGGGGATTTGTTATTCTCATGCGTTATGGTTTCATTTGGAGATTCAGTCAGTTGTTTGCTACTAATAGTAGAATGATCATTGTCCAAAGCATCATCATCACTGCTGGATACACCGCTATTCCTTCCATTGTTGATGTCACTTTCAACACCACTGTCTTCACGTTCCAACAAAGAGTTGAGTTTAGCTTTAGTTTTTATCACAGGCAAAGTCACAATCAACACTCTTTTAACAGTGTCAAATTTGGCATTACCTTTATTGCTGTCAACTTCATAGGGTAGATTCAACTGAAGTTTATATTTAGCAGGACTTTCACTCTGAAGAATCAGAGTTTTCTCAGTAACATCAATTGAGGAATCACTACAGTTCTTTAAAAGTGGTAAATCTATCTCTACAATGAGCTCGTCTGGAATGGTCATAGACATTTTTGTAAGTGGATCATTTGTGTAATGTTGCATATCTATTCTGTTGCGGTGTTTGATACTATATTTCGGAATTGTATAATCGGGCAGGATAGTTCTGCTAACATCTTTAGTTTTCTTTTCTTCAATCTTTGTGTTTTTTGAAGGCATCATTTTTGAGGATTCGCCTTCTTTAGGAGGGGGGTATGGATAGTTTAGTATTTCTGAACAATCACTCGGTTGAAAGTTTGCAATTTTCTTTCGAATTACAGTAGCATGCTTAGCTCCTTTAAAAGCCATCTTTGGAAATTTCAAATTGACCTTGTCAAGAGAAACATGAAAACTATCTTCCACTGCATCAAGAGCAGTATTATTGACTAGATTCTTAAATGCCTCATTGTTCTTAGCAAGATGCAATGTATTAGAATGAAAAACTACATCATAGACCAAGCAGGAATTGTTTTTCTTATCCAAATCTTCTCTAGGTGGAGCCATGCAGTAAGGAATGGACCACTTAAGCCCTCGATGTCCTCCATCAAACCCTGGGGTCGAAGAAGGCTCTCCCACATTGTCATTTGAGCAAATGTTAATAAAGGCTTTAGTTTCTCCATTTACACTAGTTTTTACCACATACCCAGATGAGGGATGGATGAACTTGACATCAACACCTCGTTCATTCTCAAGTTGAGTGATTTCTTGTTCATATTGTTTTCTATTGTCTGGATCATTTATCTCTTTTGCGTATTCAATCAAAAGGTTCCTGAATTCTTCTTTCTGAAGAGCCTCACCAATGTTTTTTAATTCATCCCGTGACAAATTCAGATCTTCCCATTTTTTCTTGTGTAAATCTTCCATAAAGATATTTACCGTGCAATTATATATTTCAATAAGTGAATTAGGCTACTAAAACATTCAACACCGAAAACAATAACTGCGTTTTAACAACCCTTCCGAGAATAACCTCTATCAGATTCTAGAATTTTCCGTGGTCGTCGAGCCGACTGTTCGGATGTTAACAATTTTACAAATATTTTATTTCTGTTTAACAGTAGAGTAACTGTGTTACTAGATATAGACGCACTTTTCTAGAATAGTTCGTTTAAATTATAAATAACAAATTTGAGACCGAAAAAGAGGTAGAAACTAGAAAGTTTTGCCGATACCGCACCAAATACCACTCAACAGCACAAAAGACTAGGCCAGCTCAGCTCACTTCGCTGTCGCAGCGTCGAACGAAAACCGAAAACGGAAAACATCAAAACAAAAACACAAACATATGACTTTTTTGACGTCTATTTTGTTTACCGAGTGGCAACATCTCATTGGTTGATTTTACCTTTGAGAAAAAATGTGTGCCAAAGAGGATGTACCACTCACTACATAAATATACGTTGATATGAATTTACCGGGGACAGCCACGGACAGCTCACTTGCTCTACAGGTCATAGTCTATACGAATTCAAATTCGTTTAAATTTCAAATTCAAATTCGTTTATTCAGCTAAAAATTAACAAAACAATTGCATTAGCTAAGTCAGAAAAAAAGTACAACTCATCATAGGCTACACTTACAAAATAATATAAGCTTACCATCTATTTACAAAAGCTATATCTTTCAAACTAACTTTGAATGGTTTAGGTTTAATTCCAACTTCAGGGACCGGGGTAGGTTATTGTGTGGTTTAATACCGTTATAAATAAATTTGAAAATTTTCAGGGAATATTTTGGTAGAAATCCAGCCAGTTAAATGGAAATCTGCTTAGTCTGCATGTTTGCTGCGGCTAGAGTATTTATTTTTCCTACTGTTACCTAACAATGTACATGTTCTCTCACTGATTTGAGAAAGCAAAGTGGCCAATTCGCTCATCAGTGAGACAATGTTAACATTGTCACACTCTAATTACTTTGTCTCACTCACTCCAGATTTGCAACGTGAAGGCACGAAATAGTGAGCGCGTAACATGCAGACAAGTTCGTATGCGCGCGAAATACGTTGGCAGCACTGGCTGTAAATCAGCTGGTCAGCTGTTGTACTGTTGTATCATTAAATTTCATATTAAAAGTTCACGTCTGTGTAAAAATATGTTACGTTTCTTTACCAATTTATTTGTCTTATGGTAACTTTAGGAAAAGAAAAATATAATGTGCAACTCGAGTGCAAAGTGCAATTGCCTCACTTGACATAATAACCGATGTTTTATGTCGCCTACGGCTCGTGAGTAAGTATTTCTCTCGAGTGAGTCAATTGGTCACTTTGTTCACTAGTTGCACAAATAACTGTCTATTTCATCATAGTATTTTCATCTTAACTTAACTTATGTTCATCTTAACATGGGAAACTCCAGAGCCACTGGGGCGGAGCCCAAAAGCCCGATCAGAATAAAAACTACTTAGTTTTCCTATTTAATGCCCAAAGAATCGGTGTACCGAATTTCAGCCTCCTAGGTAAATGGGAAGTGGGAGAATTAGTGATGAGTGAGTGAGTCAGTCAGTCAGTGAGGGCATTGCCTTTTATATATTTAGAAGATTTTAGGTGTATTAAAGTTAGAGACAAAATTGGCTTTGGTTGAGAATATAAAGATAAGCTATACATTTATAATGACCCTCCTCAAAATATACCACAATATTTGACAAAGAAATACTTTTATCAGTTGACTCTCGCAGTGATTTTGCCGACTGAAAACAACACCTCACTTGATGCGCATTGGCTGCTATCACAGCCACCTCTTAGAGGTGGCTGTGCTGCTATTCTCTTTTCCTTTTACATTTTGCGATTGTTTGAGAAGCCGAGAGTCGTGTTTCTGACCTGAGACCGATGATTGGCTTATACAATTTTAACAGACTTAACTTATCTTATCATTAAGATCTCAGACGTTGGTTGAAAAAGTTTTGCAATTGTAGATTTCACAATAACTCAACATTAGTAAAAACTGCTAAACGCCTATATTCTATTATTAAAATCCGCAATTATTATAGCCTAAAAATCCTTAATAATTACATCCTTCTTAGGATTAACTAGTATAATAACATACTAGTTGCGACATTGTGTTCCCCAATTAATTTGTGTTAATTTAATGTGGTGTAGTGGTAATTATGTGGTGGTTCTCTTCGTGTAGGCCGTGCCCAAGTATTTGGTTTCACTACAGGTCCTCAAGTGGCAGTAGTGGCACCCCGTCCAAGGTCAATACCGGAGGAATTATTCTCTTATGTCTCACCTCACCCATTTTTTTATTTAACAGTTTTACAATTATTTAGGGTTATAATTAGTATTTGTGTGGCTTTTGGAGTTATGGTCCAAGTATATTTGTATTTTTCTTTCATTTTTTAAACATTTGCAGTATTTATTATGTTACTGTTTAACTTACTTACTGATTTAAGTATTAATCAATATCCCTCCTTGCATACCGATGAATGAAGACTGACATTTATAATTGTATTTATTTATTTACATCTATTCTATATATATAATTCTGTAAGACAAAATTTTTACCAGAAAATTGTGGACGTCTGGTAAGTCACAGCAAAGTGGGAGGGGTCTTAAATTAAAGGTCTTGACCCCAGGGACTCGGGAAAAATAGCAGAATTCCCGTAAAGTTGCCAGAAAACGAGATATAACGTAAAATATCCACCATAAGAAATGCATGGGGACTGAAAATTGTCTGCATTCTATCAGCTGTTACTTATTTATTTTCAATGTTTACATTTATTCCGAAATTCAATGTTGGTAAATAATGTTTCAAAATGAATTGAGTTTAATTTTTTTTGTTTTCCGTTTTTATCATGAGTGAAGTAACTAGAAGTAAGACCTGCAAGACGTGGAAGAGTGTCCAGGAATTCAACAGACTTAAAAAATGCAAAAAAGAACGTCATGTAGGGCCTAACTGTGAAAGAAATCCAGAAGCTGTTTTACAACCTGTCTTTAGAAGAACACTGGAAAATGAGTTGAGTGTTGTTTCTCACAATCTAGGTCCTCTTAAAGCACTTGCATGCATTGTGGCGCATTTCACTTATAGCAGAGGAGGCCACAAATGGACATTTCAACGCATGTTGCAACTATGGACATGCCACAACCACAAGTAAATGACGATCATTCGAACTTCATAAAAAACATAAGGCAATACAACAGTGCAATGGCTTTTGCGTCGCTTTCCGCTACACAAAAAGAGATTCCGGGAAATGGGCCTTACTGTCTTAAAATTCAGGGACAAATGCATAGATATATTTCTGACTTACTACCGCAAAATGGGGAGTTGCCTTCATAATAATTAACAATAATTTTGACCTTTACATGTGGTTCTCAAAATGGAAACTATAACAGAATTCGTAAGATTACAAAACAAATCTTCAATTTTAAACTAGACAAGATGTGCAATGTTTTGCTGTATGATTTCAGCTCTGATTCGTAGCTCTCCGGGCTCAGGCCAAACCGTGTGCACGTTTCCATTATTGTGTTATTGATTTAATCATTATTTTACAATTGTATTTCATTGACACATCAGTAGCAACTAACGACTCCAACGGAAGGAAAACTGAGATATAAAACAAAAAACACTGTTAATTTTAAGTAACATAAAATTGATAATTTTAAAAACATAGGCCTATTTCGAATATTTGGCATTTTATATATGGTTTTTTTTATTGTAGTCTAAATTAGGGGCAATGGCTCCTATAGGCCACTAGTTTTTACATAAATAAACTGTAGGCCCATGCTTAAAATAAAAATTTGTGGTATTAACTCTTTCCAGCACAGAAAATACAGGTGTCAGGTGACCCCATAACCTGCACGGAATTTTTTTGTTGTTGAAATGTTTGTAAATACTTTATAATTTGTGTTTAGAACCATACTAAGTTTATAAGGTTACTAGCTGTACCCGCGGGCTTTGCCCCGTTTAACTTCATAAGTATTCGCATGGCTCATTCACGTCGTGGTTGAAGTTCGTTCGCTACGCTCACTCACCTTTTGGTTGGAAATTAGCTGTTGTCATAAATTAAAAAAAAATAATAGTGCTGCACCCTGTTGGTAATCCTTGTAACTTTTATGCTATTGAACATCATAGAACAGAACCAACTTGTTTAATTGAAACAGCTGTTAAGATTCAATAATTCCTTTTAAATATGAAAAATCATAAGGTTAACATGGGGAACTACAGAGCCACTGGGGCGGAGCCCGAAAGGATTTTTGGGATAAGAATATGCTTTAATGTTAATCGGGAATGTGTTACGTGTGTGTATCAAGTTTGACGACGCCAAATCCGGTGGATGTATGTATCTGAGGATGGCATTTTGATGCCGAAACGGCCGTAATATATACGGAAACTATGGAGCTGTGACGAGGTAATTGTACAATTATATTATAGTCATCTATTCAGCTCAGGGGCTAAAACATGTCTATTGAGGAGTTATTTGTCAGAATGTAAACAAACGTATGGTGCTGCCACCTAGCAAAGGTCCATAGTACTAACATTTAAAGTTTCCAGATGCATAGCGCTAGTAGTCTCGTTTACAAAAAATAAAATGTCTCGCGTTACAAAGATGTAACACCGTGCAGCTGCAGCAAAGAAGTCAAAAAGTCCGTTACATAAATGTAACACTAAACACTGTGCTTGAAAGAGTTAACTTAATGCTGTTACCGTGTGTAATTTTGTGATATCGTTGTTTGTTTGCCTTACCTTTATATATTTTACCAGCTGTAACCCGCGGGCTTTGCCCCGTTTAACTTCTTAATTTTCAAGATGATCTCGTTCGCATGGCTCAATCACGTCCTGGTTGAAGTTCGTTCGCTACGCTCACTCACCTTTAGGTTGGAGCTCGTTCGCTACGCTCACTCACCTTTAGGTTGGAGCTAGTTCGCTACGCTCACTCACCTTTAGGTTGGAGCTCGTTCGCTGCGCTCACTTGCCTTCAGGTTAGCTCGTTCGCTATGCTCACTTGCCTTCAGGTTAGCTCGTTCCCTACGCTAACTCGCCTCCAGGTTGAAGTTCGTTCGCTATGCTCACTCACCTTTTGGTTGCAAATTAGCTGTTGTCATAAATGTAAAAGAAATAATAGTGCTGCACCCTGTTGATACGGTAATCCTTCTAACTTAAATGCTATTGAACATCATAGAACAGAACCAACTTGTTTAATTGAAACAGCTGTTAAGATTCATTAATTCCATTTCTCATAAGGTTAACATGGGAAACTCCAGAGCCACTGGGGCGGAGCCGATTGGACGGATCACGAAATTGATGGTGTATAAACCTATTCCATGAAATTCTACACGTCTGTACCAAGTTTCGTGGCAATCGGTTCAGCGGTGTCTGAATTTATCACTGCCAAACAAATATATATTTAATATATATATATACAAACATCCTCTTTTATACTTATAGATTTTATGATTATAAATATGCAACTGTACCAATTTAGATCTCTATTTTTATTTTTATTTCATAATATGTACTTATAGGTGCTAATAGGTAATGACTTACTATTATTAAATTGTGCGTGGATGGTTTACAGCAAAGCAAGGGGTGAGCCGGTACAGGACAAAGGCGAACTGAAATTTAGGGGCTGTGACCAGGATCCGAACCCACGACATCGCTGCCTTGGGCCCGAAGTCCGCGTGACGCTACCGACTGAGCCACCGACTCACCATTATTTGCCCCGACTCATGGGTTGATTTGCCGATACAAATAACATTTTTGTGTTCTCCAGGGACACCGGTAAGTATGCTAGGTGTGGGTGGACTCTTTCATTATTGCGCTCATGTTCACTCATCCCGTTACGCGCAGAATAAGCGTACTACTAGTATATTGTATTATTCAGTTTAATAAGCCTGCCTAGCTCTAACTATAGAAATTATTAAGTAGTACGTTTTCCCTTTGCTCTAACACTTCCACTTGTGCTAAGTTTTTTATCTCATGTTCCTATTTATATTAGCTACCAGTACGGTACATAAAATGAGTAGCCTATTATCTTACTTTTTGAAGACTTTGTAATGACCAGTACAGCTTTAAAGTAACTGGTACATTTTACCATGATATGTCTAACTATTATTGTTCAGTAATATTCAGTATAATTAACTTTGTTATAATAATGCTTTCTATCAACTAAAAATAAATACAGATGGCATTGGTTTTTAATTTGTTTTGTGATTTAACAATGAAATAATTTATTAGTAATTTTGTTAGTTGAAAAACAAACACATCAAGACTCAAGATCCCTCTCTCTCTTTTGTAATGTAAATGTAAAGCTCTGTGAAATGGTTGAAAGTTTATTTGTTAATATTAAAACTATTTGTTAATTGTATCTCAGTGTTCTAATTTGAAGAATCAAACTCCGCTTAACTTATAAATACAGTCCACTCCACACGCTACCGAAATTCTACATGGTCCTTCGGCCGCGGATCATCTGAAACTCAGCTCTTTTGGTAACTATAAGCATAGATAAAACATACCCCTTAGTATATTTCTCATCCTTATGGAACAGCTGAAGAGAATTTTATTGTTAGTTCATGTACGGTTTATGTAGAGGTCGTGTTTTGTTTACAATTTGTTTCCCGTTATTAAACCCATTTAAAACCTCGCTTAGCCAAATAATACGATCTAATCATAAACAATAACTTGTCCCCTAGTTATATAACCAAACAGTAAAGCAGATATCAAGAAATTAACCCTAAAATAATTTAAACAAAGTTTCATCGACACTAGCGCCTTTGTGTCACGTACATGAACTAGACACGAAAAACGTGCTTCAAAATTTACAATGGGATGAGAAGTCTACTTGTGTTGGTTAGTCTATGCTATAAGTCACAATTAATTAGTTCTACTCCAACTCCAACTTGCAAACCTAAAATAGACTCTTCACTCCTTTCTCATCATTAAGAAGTAAGAAGACTACCAAGACTACTGTAGATCTAAAAGGTCAATCTAAAGGACTTTGATTCAAACTTTGATTCCTCTATATTTTACGCATATTGTTTTTCTTGTAATTGATTATTTGCCATTTAAATGTTGTATCAAACTATACAATTTGGTATTTTGTAATGCTCATAGCAACCACTAATAGCACTAATGTAACAATGCCATCTGTTATCTGTGTCTCATATTGCAGACAATAATGACAATCTCTAATCTCTCTCTCTCTCTCTCTGAATACTCAGAATAATTGTTTTTTTTTGTACAACAAAAATGAAATTCATCACCCTGTCTAGGCAATTAAACTCAATTGCGAATCGTTTAGCAAAAATCCAAACTAACATCCAAGCTTTAGATTTATTACCTGATTTGTCCCAAGAACAAATAAAAAAGTTAAAACTTTTAGATTCAGAAACACTTAGAAAATACTCAGAATTTGAAACCTCCCTTGAGAAACTATTCAATAGTGACACGCTTCCCGATGATTATGATGAAGATACACTCTTTCAATTACAAGATACTATATCTGACTTATATGTAGGAATTCAAACACCTTTCTCAAGATCCTACAAGTCATATGCCTGTTCTAAACACTGACTCAATAACAAATACTCAATCAAGTAGCCTACCCCATAGGCCTAGTAGCTCTTCCTCAAACCAAGATAGCCACTCTCTAAAACTCCCTCCTCTATCTCTCAAAACTTTCGATGGTTCACCGGAACAATGGTTATCTTATGTTAGCCTGTTTCAAGTATCTGTTCATGATAATGAAAACATATCTTAAGTTGAGCGATTTCAATATCTGCTTTCTACGCTTCAGGGAGAACCTTTCAATCTTATAAAGAATTTACCAATCACTGCTGAAAACTATGATGTAGCATGGGATCTGGTAATTATATCGACCTCCGGACCTCACGCGAAATTAAAAATTTCTTTTTTCAAAATGGTCGAAATTTCACTCTGATTTCAAAAACGATTGTCGTTTTTTTCGGAAACGTCCCGTTTTCCCGGAAAATGGGAAAAACGGAAAAATATTTGTTTGCTCAAAACCCATGGTGTGGGTACTCAAATTATGCGGAATTTCCTCCTGAACAAGAATATGTAAATTTTATTACGATCGGACAACTATTAAGTAAAATATCACCGAAAAACGGGAAAACGGGGAATTTTTTTTTGCTCAAAACCCATGTTGTGGGTACTCAAATTGTGCGGAATTTAATCCTGAACAAGAATATGTAGTTTTTATTACGATCGCTTTTAAGTAAAACATCACCGGACAGGTTAACTAACCTAACTTAGGTTTAGATTAGGTTAGGTTAGGATAGGTTAGTTTAGGTTAGGTTAGGTTAAGTTAGGTTAGGTTGGTTTAGGTTAGGTTGAGTTTTGTTAGGTTAGGTTAAGTTTGGTTAGGTTAGGTTAGGTTTGGTTGGGTTAGGTTAGTTTACTAGGATAGGTAAGTTTAGGTTAGGTTAGGTTAAGTTAGGTTGGTTTAGGTTAGGTTGAGTTTTGTTAGGTTAGGTTAAGTTTGGTTAGGTTAGGTTTGGTTGGGTTAGGTTAGTTTACTTACAATACTCATGTTATTGATAAACTAACCTAACCTAACTTACGAACTTAGGTTAGGTTAGGATAGGTTAGCTTAGGTTAAGTTTGGTTAGGTTAGTTTACTACTACTAATGGTCTCTTAACCTTAGTTCGTAAGTTAGGTTAGGTTGGGTTAGTTTATCAAATAACATGAGTATTGTAAGTAAACTAACCTAACCCAACTAAACCTAACCTAACCAAACTTAACCTAACCTAACCTAACAAAACTCAACCTAACCTAAACTAACCTAACCTAACTTAACCTAACCTAACCTAAGCTAACCTATCCAAGTAAACTAACCTAACCCAACCAAACCTAACCAAACTTAACCTAACCTAACAAAACTCAACCTAACCTAAACCAACCTAACCTAACCTAACTTAGCCTAACCTAACTTAACCTAACCTAACCTAACCTAACCTAAATTAACCTAACCTAATCTAAACCTAAGTTATGTTATGTTAGGTTAGTTAACCTGTCCGGTGATGTTTTACTTAAAAGCGATCGTAATAAAAACTACATATTCTTGTTCAGGATTAAATTCAGCACAATTTGAGTACCCAAAACATGGGTTTTGAGCAAAAAAAAATTCCCCGTTTTCCCGTTTTTCGGTGATATTTTACTTAATAGTGGTCCGATCGTAATAAAATTTACATATTCTTGTTCAGGACGAAATTCCGCATAATTTGAGTACCCACACCATGGGTTTTGAGCAAAAAATATTTTCCCCGCTTTTCCCACTTTCCGGGAAAACGGGACGTTTCCGAAAAAAACGACAATCATTTTTGAAATCAGCGTGAAATTTCGACCATTTTGAAAAAGGAAATTTTTAATTTCGCGTGAGGTCCGGAGGTCGATATAATTACCCGGGATCTTCTCCAAAAACGGTATCAAAACAGTAGGAAAATCATAAGTATACACCTCAACAACATAATAGACTTACCTAACCTAAGTGACTCCTCCCTCAAGAACATTCGCTCGTTCATTTCTCAGTATAACGAAAATGCCCAAGCACTTATTGCACTAAATCATGACATAGCCAAAGATAATATCTTGCTCTCAGCCATGTTACTAAGGAAATTACCCGCAGACATTCGAAAAAAGTTTGAAAGCTTACGGGTTAGTTCTCAAGACCTACCAACCGTAGGTGAAGTAATAACATTTTTAGAAAATGAATGTGCTTACTTAGAAGCTGCTAACCTCTCTAACTCGCAGTTCCCCAGAACTACTTCAAGCAATGTACGTTTCGCTCAAAATAGTAAGAGGTCCAGCCCTCACTCCTCTCACATAGTCCTACATAAGTCTACACCAAACCGCACTACTTTACTAGCTTTCAGAGACTCAAACGCCACATGCACATTTTGTAGTAAAAGTGATCACAACATTTACCAATGCTCAGAGTTTAAAGATTTGTCCGTACAGGAAAGATACAATTTTGTGAGGAAAAACCACCTCTGTTTAAACTGCTTAGGTACCGCTCATTCTGTCAAAGACTGTAAGTCAAATAAAACATGTTTTCACTGTAAACTGAAACATCACTCCCTCTTACATCAAACTAATAATAGGCCTAATGATAAGCTTAACCAAAAGCCTAAAGATAATGCTCCGATGCCCAAGGAAATGAATAAAACATTTGATCACCCTGAACCTCCTTTTGTAGCTGTCTCCTCAAACCCTAATACCACTATATTGCTAGCCACTGCATTGGTCCACTTGAAAGCTAATAACGGTAACACAGTTGTAGCCCGAGCCGTTATTGACTCCGCATCTATGGTAAGCTGCGTTACAGAAAATATTGCTAACCTGCTTATGCTTAAACGGACATTTTCCAGTAATTCCAAGATAGATGGCCTATCATCAGTAGAAGTTAAATCTAAAGGTGTGTCAAAAGTTAACATATGTCTCTTAGCGGAGAAATGATTGCTGATAACAACCCAGTCCTTATTCTAGACAGAATAACCTCAAACCTCCCACACTCAGAAGTTCCAGTTAATGTTAAAGAATACTTCAAACATTTGGTCCTGGCTGATCCAACTTTTTATCTGCCTAGTAAGATAGATGTGCTCATAGGTGCTGATCTATTCGCTAAAGTTATCACTGGTGAACGCATCATCATTAACAAATATCTTCCTGCTGCCATGAATTCTGTATTTGGATATCATAGGATCTGCCCCAACTCTTCCTGCTGTAGTCCCTCACAAAACAGCCCCTCAATGCAAGGGTAATGTTTCTTCTTTATTAAGTACTCAAGATATTGATTTGCACAATTCTCTGCAGAAATTTTGGACTCTAGAAGAACCTCCCATCAAACTTCATGTAACATCTGAACAAGAAATTTGTGAACATCACTTTCTAAACACGGTTTCTAGGGATTCAGATGGACGCTACTTTGTTAGGCTACCCATAAAAGAAAATCATCCCCCTCTTGGTGACTCATCATTTTGCGCTCGTAATAGATTCCTATCACTTGAAAGAAAATTAGAAAGTCAGCCTGAAGTCAAAGCAGAGTATAGTAAAGCCATACATGATTTATTGTCATCTAGTCACATGGAACCTGCTAACCCTCCCCCAAACAGCGATGACAAACAATTTTACTTACCTCACCATGCTATTGTCAAAGTAGATTCCTCAACTACCAAGCTTCGTGTAGTATACGATGCAAGCGCACGCAGCTCCTCAGGTGTCAGCCTTAACGATATTCTACATACCGGGCCAAAACTACATAATGATCTTAATGATATTCTGTTAAAATTTAGACTATCCCCTATTGTTTTCTCATGTGACATCAAACAAATGTTTCGTCAAATAATGATCCACCCAAATGATAGAAACTATCAAATGTTGTATTGGAGAGATGACAAAGACGAACCCCTTTCAGTTTACCGCTTAACTACAGTTGTGTTTGGATTCAACTGTTCACCCTACTTGGCACTAAGGACACTTCACCAACTTATCACCGATGAAGGTGCAAACTTCCCTCTGGCAGCTGAGGCTTTAAAGAAACAAGTATATGTAGATGATTTAATTTTAGGTGCCAACAGCATAGAACAAGCTTTGGTACTAAGAAATGAGGTGGAACAACTTCTCTTAAAAGGATGTTTCGAACTGAGGAAATGGACTAGCAACTGCCCTCAAATCATGGAAACTCTTCCCGACTCTTACAAAGAAACTCCTCTATATTTCAACTCCTCAGATCAACCTTATTTTAAGGTACTAGGTATAAAATGGTCACCTAACTCAGACACTTTCTCTTATCAGTTGAATATCCCAGATACACCTCCCACTAAACGAGGTATACTTGGAACAGTTAGCAGAATATTTGATCCAAACGGTTGGTTGACTCCAGTCACTCTTTGGGTAAAAGCGTTGATACAAGTTTTATGGGCACTAGGTTTATCATGGGATGCGCCTGTACCTCCGGATCTAACTCAAAAATGGTCTAAGTTCCTCCAACAACTTCCTTTCTTAAGCGAACTTAGCTTACCTCGATATGTTTCCGTAGCTGATGCTGTTCATATCAGTTTACATGGATTTTGTGATGGGTCTGAAACAGGTTACGGAGCTTGTGTCTACTTGCGATGTGTAAGTTCTTCCGGAGAAATCAACGTACATCTGTTAATTGCCAAAGCTCGAGTAGCTCCTCTTAAGAAGATCTCCATCCCTAGACTAGAATTGTGTGGTGCCCATCTTTTGTCCAAACTCCTGAACTATTGCAACTGTCTACTCTCTCAAGATTATCTTGTCAACGAATTACATGCTTGGTGTGATTCATCTGTAGTCTTGTCATGGATAAAAACTGTACCCTACCGCTTAAAAGTTTATGTTGCAAATCGAGTCTCAGAAATTCAAGAACTTACTCCTACTTACATATGGAAACATGTCTCAACTCATTGTAATCCAGCTGACATTGCCAGTAGAGGAACCCTTCCCATTTCTATAAAAGACAACAGTTTATGGTGGAACGGTCCCGATTGGTTATCTATGGATCAGGAATCATGGCCTATTCCTCGCTTCACCCCTCTTCAAGACGAACAATTTCCAGAACGTAAGGCCGAACCTTTACCAATAATGGTTACAACTCAAAAACCAGACTTATTCAACAGCTTTTCATCGTGGTCAACCCTCCAGCGAGTCATCGCTTACATTATGCGCTTCAAAAATTGCTTAACTCCAGGTCATTTTCTGATTGGAGGACCTCTTTTATCTCTTCCCGAAGCTGACTGGAATGATGTCTCAACAAACAGATTGTCAAGGTGGAAGTTTGTTCAAGCATTAACCCAAAGTTTTTGGAAAAGATGGCAAAAGGAATACCTCTACACGTTGCAACAACGAGGGAAATGGAGAAGTCCTCAACCTAACATCAAAATTGGAGATCTTGTCCTATTGCATGAACCAAACCAACCTCCCCTTTCATGGAAAATGGAACGTGTCATTTCAACCTCCCCAGGGCAAGATGGTCTTGTACGAGTTGTAAGATTAAAAACTTCAACAGGAACACTCTCCAGATCTATAACTAAAGTCTCACCCCTCCCAATCAATGAGTAATAAAAGAAGTTAAGACTGTTAACCAAGAGTTTATTGTAAATAATATGTTCATTTCTAAATACATTTTTTTTCTTCTCAATACTTGATTATTAGGTGAACCCCACTAAGTGGTTCACGGGCGGGGGTATGTTCAGTAATATTCAGTATATAATTAACTTTGTTATAATAATGCTTTCTATCAACTAAAAATAAATACAGATGGCATTGGTTTTTAATTTGTTTTAATGTTTAAAACAACATATGTGATTTAACAATGAAATAATTTATTAGTAATTTTGTTAGTTGAAAAACAAACACATCAAGACTCAAGATCCCTCTCTCTCTTTTGTAATGTAAATGTAAAGCTCTGTGAAATTGTTGAAAGTTTATTTGTTAATATTAAAACTATTTGTTAATTGTATCTCAGTGTTCTAATTTGAAGAATCAAACTCCGCTTAACTTATAAATACAGTCCACTCCACACGCTACCGAAATTCTACAATTATTGACATTAATGAAACAATAAGCTACAACAAATCAAATCAATCATTCATAACTTAATTTTAATAATGTTGGTACATAATCGAAACTTACAACAGTTACAACAGTTGACTTTTATTTCTAGGGAGTACAATTAGTTACTTTGGACCTGTGTGAGTACAAAACATGGATATTTTTGTGGCAGGATAGAAAATAAATATGATGAAGTTTCAGTTTAGCAGGAACTTTTTGATCGCCCACTTTAAAAACACTTTGCTGTCACAGGTTTGCATTAGCTTCCAAATAAAGTTCTGTCATTTATTAGGTACTGAAAAATGGCATGTTTTCTTGTGAAAATTGAAACATTTTGCAGAAGGTAAGGATAAAGTGACTCAACTTTGGTAGGAATTATTTGGAAATGTGGATTAAGAAGCTTCCTTTGAAATGTTTTTGGTGAAGTGTCTCATGATAAATTCTAAAATATTTTTAGAAAGGGAGCTTACTTTATGACTCAATTAACCCTGGGTGGTAATTTTAAGCAGTTTCGTTTTCTTTTTCAACTCTGAAAGGTAAATAAAAAGCCCTCTGACTACTTTTCCTAGAAGTTTTTTCACCATAATACAACTGTTAATGGCTTATTTTAATGGATTCTTAATTACATAAATCTAACTTCTTGGGGACTGATTAATAATTTAAAAAATCTGTCTTAAGTGTACTGGAAGGGGTTAAAAATAATTATTAGGGCATAATGAGAAATAACAATATAATTTATATTTTACATACATTAATAATATATTTACAAATAATCTTAAACATAAAAATATTCATTTTGTTGATGGAACAATGATGGTCAAAACGATTATTTTGTAATAAAACTAGATTAAGACATTATACAGGGTGGGGCAATGAGAACTATACAATTTATAAATAACACAAAATCTATAATTTTTATATTACAGATATACAAAAAAACACCAAAAAAAGGCAATCTTATACCATTTTGTCCTGGATAAACCATTATTTCATATATTCAAAACAACTTCCTTCAAATGACATCCTTGAAAATGTTGACATTCTTTGAGTAAAAACCCGTCGAATACGCTTTCAAGCATTTTTTGAGAAATCGCTTGAACCCCTTTGGTGATTATCTGCCTGAGTTCGAGCAAGCATCTTGCATCTTGTAGAGGTGGAAATGGATATATTGATGCAAGATCCTTCCAAGTGATCTCCTAGAAATTTGAAGTATCAAGGATTACTTCCTGATGGACCACTTTGGACTTTGAGTGACTGCGGCTCGTACTCTCTCCACATTGGCTGATGTGCTAACAGTGTTATAGCTTCCACCAATATTTTTTTGGGATTATGCCGTTCTTCTAAATAGTGATACCCAGTTCTCTATTGTTAACCGACTCGGAGCACCCCTGTTTCGATCAATATTGAAATGGTCCCTAAACATTCTCTGTGTTTTAATAAAAAAAATAATTATTCTTAAAAAAAAGTTTCCACAGCAAAAACACGGTGTTCAGGATTCCAAAACGCCATGTTTACTAAAATGGTATCGTTCAATTTTGTTTATGAGCACAGCTGTTCACTCATTGTTGCAATATTTATCAGCTGGTAGCTAAAATAAATTGTATGGTTCTCATTGCCCCACCCTCTATAAACACATTAACATTAAATAAAGTTTCCTCACTCACTGTCTAAATTAGAAGAAATTTAATATGTTTTTAGCTTACTAATGCAAATTATTTTCAAATCAAACTTAGCTAAACTAATTAAAATGCAAATAACAACACTTGGAAACTAGTATGGCATTACTTTTAGGAGTAAATAGTTTTTGCATGTAACAAAAATACATAGCTGACATATGTTTCTGTTAAATTAAATCCTTCACATTTGTGGCTTAAGATAAATTAAGACTCCCGCAAATTATGGAATAATGTAAATCCACAATAAAAGTAACAAATAACAACAAAACTAACAAATGTATCTAAAAAAAAACTATACTATGATTATAACAATAAAAGCGAAAAAATAATCAAAAGATAACCCTCAGACAAAATTGTTTAGCTGTACAACTAACATAACAGTCTCACTTACTGATGATCAAAAATATTCTCTCTGCAAATCCTTTAAGAGGACCAGAAGTCAATTTAAACTCACCAAGGTACACTTTAATAACTAAAACTAAACAAATGAAAAACTAGTGTATTCATTTTTCAACATGATCTAAATTTGATTTTTCCTTATAGAATTCTAGCTATGATAGTGACTAAAACTAAACTTACTTTTTACACTAATATGTATCAATAACCACTATCCTAAAGAGAGTTTCACATTTTCCGCATCAATTTACCAAAATGGACACCTGAAACAGAAAAAGTTTTTGTTGTGTAACAATATTTAAAAACATGGTTTATAATGTCATGCTGTAAATGGAGTAGTATTCAAGTTTCCATATAATTTACAATTACAAATAAAACTGTATCACAATAGGAAAGAAACTTCTATTCACGAATGTTTCAGCCTTAATTTAGAATGCCATCTATTACAAGATGACTCGACTTCCGCACAGTTGATCTTTTCAATGAACTGTGTCATTGATACGTCAAATGTGCGAAAGTCAAGTCAACATTAAGATGGCGCTACTATCAAATGAACATTGGTAGGAGTGTTTGATGAATTTTGACTCTGTTAGCTCAAAGACCTTGAATATATCAAATAGAAGTACCAGGGGGACCGAACATTACATGAGGTGTTTGATTTGTTCAAGAGGTTAAAAAACAAAACCTATAAGCCTACAAATTTTCAGTTTTGCTACGATTAATTAAGTTGTAAAGTCAATTCGTTTTCGGTAGACATTCACTCATTCTTAATTTTCCTAATGACTTTTTCATGTGGAGGAGCAATCGATATTGATAATTTCTACAATAAACTTCAATATAAAAACTCATAGTACATAAATATGTTGACCGTTATTGCGTTAGTCACTGGGATTGCGGAACATCACAACTAATTACAGGATTGTGGAACAACGCAACTAATTACGAGATCGTGAAACAATGCATCAATTACGGCAACGCATCGTCGAAAAGTACAAAATGTCCTTGGCCTTTCCTCTAGACTTTTAGTTCAATATTAGTGTATATTGTTATCCGGTAATTGACTACGTTATTGAACAGTCGTAATTATCCCTTTGGTTAGTACATCATACACTCCAAAAGGATTATATAATCAATGCTCAATAGCATTCATAGGAATGTCCTTTTCCTTTGTACAGTATTTTGTAATTTGCTACTGTACTGTAAATGATTTGTTTACAAGCATATGTTACAATTCATTTTAGTAAAACTGAAAGAGCTACTTGCAGTCCATAAGACTAATGTTAAAAATATTAAAATTTCATTTTAGGTTTTTAACGAAAAACAAATTTTCTCGTTTGTAAAAAATACAACCGACTTCAAACGCTCTAAAAAGAATGAAATAATTTCAATAAAGTAAACTTTTGTATTAGGCAAGCTCACGTATTTTAAGTCGGCGCGGCTCTATGATGATTTTTGATACAAAATTGAAATAGGGTGTCCATATTGCAGGTGACTATCTATATCTAAAGGTGTTAATCTGCATGTCTTTTTCATAGTTATGCGTTAAGTGTTATTTTATTACCGTAATCAGAGATCGGCATTATAGTGGTATTAACGAGTATCTTTAAAAAGATTATAACGCATTTAAATGTTTCTAACTTGGAAAAGTAACGTTTTAATACTAAACTAGCTTTTTTTCCCTCTCATAATATCAAACTAAATTATTTTCCTATTCATATAGAACATTTGTGTGTGTTATTTTCATAATGCATTTATTCTGAAGTAAACATAAAATACAAGAAAATATTTCCTTTAATATATAAACAAAACAGTTCAGTATGTTTTTTTATATATTTATGTTATCCAGCTACAAATTTATTGATTTTCAAAATACACACACAATATTTAATTTCAATCATATTTGCAGTTTGAGCCGCGCCGACTTGAAATACGTGAGCTTGCCTAATACAAAAGTTTACTTTAATAAAATTATTTCATTCTTTTTAGAGCGTTTTGAAGTCGGTTGTATTTTTTACAAAAATAAATTATTTTATGATTTTTAGTGACTGTATAATTTTTTATATATTAATTACTTGAGGTTTTTTGATAAGCAAAACTGTTTGAAACAATCAAAAGTTCCACAGAACAATCATTATTTTAAAACTGCTTGAGTCACCTGTTCAGGTTACATAATCAATGGGTATGAAAATAAACATTTTTAGATATTCCTTAAGAAAGAAAGAGTTGTCCATTACATTAGGCCTAATGAAAAACTAATTGTCTGTTCTAGATACATTGAAATGTCAGACATCATCGTTTCCTGCAATCGGTGTACTTCTACATTATAAAAAGAAATACAGTAACGTCTCAAGCCTTTTGGAACAATATATGAAAGTTATTCCTCAGCCACCAGCACTAAAAAATCTCTCAAAAGTGGAAAATTGGTCGTTAACACGT